GTTAACTTATTAATAACTCTAATAAAAATATAATATTTTTTATTATTATTCTAATTATTATATTATTAATTATATTAAGATTTAAAAAATCGCTATATATATTAATACTAGCGATTAATATAAAGAGGTTTTTTTTATATTATAAATTAAACGACTTTAAGATAAAAATATTTTAATATTAAACGAATATTAATTTTCTAAAAAAAAAAATATTAGAAATATTCTCTTAAGCTCTTTTAGAATATTAAGACTTATTAAGATTTAACTTACTAGATATTAATTCGCGCTCTACTTCTTTATATTAATATTATATACTTTTTAATAAATAAATTAACTATCTATTTAAGATTAAATAATAAAAAATAATTATAAATAGAAATTATAATTTAGACGTTTAAATAATTTTTAATTAATTTCTAATAGATTTAATATTTAATTTAGCTTATTAGATCTTTTTATAAATTTATAAAATTAATAAATAAAGAAAAGAAGATTATAATTTACTACGTCTTTAATATCTATAATTATCTATTTAATTATATAGATAAAGAGCTTAGAAAATTAAGAAGAAAGAGAGTTTCTTAAAAAAAAGAACTTTTTAAAGCTTTTAAAATAGCTTATAAGAAATTAGCTATCTATTATAATCGAATTTAATTAAATTTAAACTATTTATATAAATAAGCTACGCTTTTATATTTAAATTATAATAATATAAAATTAAAGAAATTAAATTAAAAGATTAATACTAAAGAGAAATTATAGATAAAGATTTACTAGAAAGTATTTAAAAAGATATTTTAAAATTATTAAAATATTAATATAAGTAGTTAATTATAAAGAATTAGATAAATAAATTAATCAAATAAAAATACGCTTAATTAAGCGATAAAATCTAAGATTAAAAATTTAAATAATAAGAATAAATATAATTAGCTTTAGTAATATAGACGAAATAATAAGTCTTCTAATTATTATTTTAATTATAATCTTATTTCTAATTTTTATAAAGCTTCTTTTAATAATCTAGCGAATCTTTCGATTTTAAAATAATAAAAGAAATTAAAGTTTAAATACGCTATAATCGCTTAAATAGCTTATAATATTCTTTATTCTCTCGCGGAAACTATTATATATAAGCGATATTTTTTAATAACTAAAAGATATTATAATATTTAAAAGTATTATTTATTAGCGATATTTCATATTCTAATAATAATTCTTTATATAAAATATTAAGAAAATAAGCTTAAATAAACTAGACTTAATTTTAAAGAAGATTTTAATATATTAAATTAAATTAAAAGAGCTAATAATACTTTATATAAAAATTTAATTAATAATTATAATAATTATATTAGCGAAGATAATAAGCTTATAAAAAGTATTTTAATAAGTTTAATATTTATAAGTTTATTAAGATATATTATTAATACTCTATAATATATAGAGAAGTAATAAATAGATTTATAATTAGAGAGAATTAATAATAATAAATCTAGTCTTAATAAAGAGATCTAAAATAACTCGAAAAGTAAATTTATTTATAAATAATTAATAAGTTTAATTAGATAAAGATAGATTTAAGATATTTAAAAGAATTACGATAGAGTAGAATAGAAGAGTAAGTTAAAGTTTAAAAGAAGAATAAATATAAAGTCTATTAAGCTTATTTAACGCGTTAAAATAAATATATAAATAGAGATAATTATAGAATTTTATTCTTATAATATTTAAAGATTTAAAATTTAGAATATTCTTTTATATTATAATTTTAAAAAGAAGAATAGAGACGCTTATAGTTTTAATTATTATTCTAATTATTATTATTAATAAAAAGATAAATAGCTATATTAGATTACTCTTTATATTCTCTCTCTCTTAATAAAGAAGAATAAATATATTCTATATATCTTAATCGAATTATTCTATAAATATAGAAATTCTAATTAAAATATTTTATATATATATTATTTTATAATATAATACTATAAATATATTATACTATAGAATATCCCGCTAAGATCTCGAATCTATATTAGAAAAATAATATAATATTTAACTCTATTTATATTATACTCGAGTACGATATAATATTACTTAATATAAAATATTCTATAAGATATATTATATCTTTTCGACTAGTAATAATAGATAAATACGAAGAATATTACGAAGAAATTAAGCGATAATAAGATTATTATTATTAAGAATACGACTTAGCTCTTTAAGATTCTACGTTATATACTCTTTAATATATATTTAAATGAATTAAAATTATTCGATATTTATAGCTATTTTATTATTCGAAAAATTTTACTACGATAGAAGATATTATGAGATTTATACTACTAATTAATACGTTATATCTATTTTTTTTCGATATTTCGATACTTCTTACTATAAAAATATAGTCTTTCTCTATTTTTTATAGATAATTATTATAGATTAATTCTTTATACTTAATATATCTTTCTAATTAAGTCTTAGCGCGCCTCTCTTTATATATATATATCTATATATTATATAAATTAATTTAATTTTATAGTAATAGAAGTAGATTAAAAACGTATAGTAAGCGATTAAAGTTCGATTTAACTTAGAACTAGAATTAAAATTTCATTTAACTTAGAAAAATTTAACTTTATTTAACTTAGAAAATGAAAAATCTAATTCTATGAATTTAATTTATAGATCTTTACTTATAGTTATATAAATAGATAAAAGAATTATTATTTAATCTTAAATATATCTAATATAATTTTTATATATAAATATTAATTTAATTTATTAATAGTAGATTAAACTTTATAATTTTTATATTATTAGAAAGTATATATTAAACTTTATAATTTACGAAATTATAAAGTAATAGTATTCTTAGAAAACTAATTATTTTAGAGTATAAGATTTCTATATATAAATTTTTATAGATTTTTAATAATTATAAACGCTAATTTATTTATTCGCGATATCTAATTAAAAAGCGTAGACTAATAAATTCATAATTAAATATATATATAAATTTAACATTTTCTAATTTAATCTTATCTTATTCTTTTATATATATTAATATACTAATTATATTTACGCTATACTATTATAAAAAACTCTCTCTTTTCTTTTTCTATAAGATTTAGAGAGTATTAATAAATCTTCTAATAATAAGAAAATATTCTTTCTATATTTAGATTTAAGAATAAATCTTTAAAGAAAGAAGATAATTATTAGAAAAGAAGCTTATAAATTCTAAATAAGAGAATTTTAGATTACTTAATTTATATATATCTAATATATACTTAACGAAGTTTTAGCGAATAAGCTTAAATAAGCGATTTTTCTTAAGTTTTCTTTATTTTTTTAAGAATTAATTTTATTACTAGATCGATATATAAATATATCTATCTTTTTAATTTTATTAATATATATAAAAGAATAAGATAGAGCTAAGTTAAAAAATCTTAAATTTATATATATAGTTAATTATAAATTCGAGTTCGCTACGCTCTTTAATTAGATTAACTAATTTATTATAAGTAAATAAATTAGCGTTTATAACTATTAAAATCTCGCCCTTCTACGTCTTCTTATCTTTCTTATTAAAAAAATAGATATACGTTATTAACATATAGAATAACTTTTTTATTTTCTATTAAATTTTTAAGATTATTTTTTTAAATTATAGAACGAAATATAGGCTTTTAAATAAAAAAAGAATTTCTAAATTTAGTCTTATAATTATTAAAGCGTAAGAGATTTTAATATCGCTTATTAAAGTTCGCTCGATAGTCGAATAGCTTTAATTAAATATATATTATTTAATTTTAAAATAACTTTTTTATTTTCTATTAAAATTTTAAGATTTCTTTTTTAAATTATAGAACGAAATATAGGCTTTTAGATAAAAATAGAATTTCTAAATTTAGTTTTATAATTATTAAAAGATAAGATATTTAAATATCGCTTATTAAAGATCGCTTATTAAATTTACTCGATAGTTCTAATTAACTCTAATAATTATAAATTTAATTTATAAATCTTAACTCGTATTACTATATAATACTAAAACTCTTTAAGTTTAATAGATATATAATACTCTTTTTAATACTTTTAATAAAAGTAATAAAGATAATAGTAAGCTTATTAACGATATAATATTAAATATAATTCTTATAAACGTTAGATAGTAAAGAAAACGATATTTTAAAGGCCTTTTATATATTAATAGAAAATCTAATAAAAGAAATATTAAGGATTCTATATTAGCGAGTAATTTTAATTTTAATTTAATAATAGCGAGATATAAGAAGAGTTATAGAAATAATAATATAATAAATATATTTATAGTAGAATTTTAGATGAGAGAAATACTAGCTCTAATGCTAATTTTCTAATTTTTTAATAATTAAGAAAATAGAGGTATCTCGAATATCGTATTTTTAGATAAATTAAAATCATTCGATATTCTTTAGAAAATCGCTAAGACTTAAACTGCTATCGCTATACCTCGATAAATCTTCTTCAGTTAAGGCCTATAGAGGCTATGAATATCGAGAGACATAGGGCAAGCAATAGGCGTGCATCTTCGATCTATCAGCTATAGGGGCCATAGCTATTAAGAGGGGGGGTAGTATTACGAGCGTACCCTTAACACACCACTCAGCCCTATGGCTAGCGGGCCTTGACGGAGGCATGCCCTACCATATCATGCCTCCTTCCCACCTACATAATTCGGTAGCCTTATTATCCTATCTACCTCACCCATATGACTCATACCTCTATGCTGGTCCTGACAAGGAGAAGATTCCGAGTTCATGATTCAAATTTGACATCTCTTTTCTTGTGAGCCCTTAGGCGGCTATCAACACCTCACCATTGCAAAGTTCTCCATTCTAGACCTCCGTTGTTGTGGTGGGTGGCCAACCCTTGGAGAGACAAGTGCGAGCCCTCACTTGTCTAGAGGCATCACTGCCTTAGATACCACTTGTTTCCTGTACTAGGGATCAGGACAGAAACATAGTCCCACCACCAAGTTCCTCATCGCCATAGATGAAGTCAAATTTGACCTCTCCACAAAGTCCATCCTTGTACATCCTCGCCGGAAGCAGTTTGAGCGATCTTCTCACCAGATTGTAAGTCAGAAGGAACCGCGTTGTCCCGGGAGAATTCCTATGAATCATATAGGTCACCTCACCCCCTGAACTGACACCCGCAAATTCGGTGCAAACATCATCATTCTTTGCCGGGGCCGAAATTGCCAATCCGTTCACGGCGGCATTCAACAGACTCTGGCATGGTATAGAATCTTCCAAAGTCTCGAAAGAGATCACAAAATTCGAGTCCTCCGGATCCACAATATCCCTCTCGACAGTAAGATTTCGGCTCGCCATACTGTTGGTCATAGGATCCAAGTTACCCAGGCTGAAGTTCGTGCCATTGATTTCAGTCAATGTCGGAGACACCTGACGGGCTATCGCAAGTTGCCCGACGGGCTTGTTATACATATACAGAATGGCTCTGGTAATGCAAAAGGATTTCCTGCTGGCCAACGTGTTCATCGTTTTGAGAAGTCCTAGGATAAGGTGTTTGTTTTGTAGTTGATTTTTATCTTCAGGATGCGCGAGGCTACCATACGCGATTATAATTCCGTTGACATCCTTCGAGGATGCTTCGTATCCACTTGGGATAATTTCATCCCATCCACTAGAAGCTAGGTCATACATGAAATCTATAGCGCAGAGGTAGGCATCTTCTGGCTTGATGGACACCCGAGGAACCCAACTTAGCACCGCATCGAAGCCAGGAATTGCAGGTTGTCCTTTGAGGTCGGTGGCGCTAAGAGACCGCTGTTAGCATCTGTCGCGAAGCGAGTAATACACAGACATACTTGACAGAAAGCCCAAGGCTTGGGATATTTACATTGGCGGGTAGTTGTAGCGGTATGAAAAGAGCAAGCGCCACGATGACACAATGCGCGAGAAGCACTACCAGACTTGAGATGCCAGGCATCTTGAATATAGCCAGACACGTTATAACAGCAGTACCACGTTATAATATCAGTACTAATGGCTAGGCAGAAATATAGGAGGAGAGTCAGCTTCACTTGGGAGGTGATCGAGTGGTGGGAGTTCGCATGTCGCTACCAGGAAGCTCCATAGCATAGAGCGGAAGAGCGCCTCGAGAGAATACGAAATAGAACGTGGTTTGCTATCCAAGCAAATCGACTGCGTTTCAATGCCATAGTGACCAAGCGACCTTGTGATTAGCAGCCAATATCTCGCACCAAAAAATCTTTCATCTCAGGTTCCTTATCCCAGAGCCGTCATAGCCCTAGAGTATCAGCCTGTGTCGCTATGTTCGTTATGCACCAAAGCCCGGCATTGTCGTTGTTGACTCTCACCTTCCTTGCAGCTCTAACATGCGCCTTTCCTCCTAGTTGTAGCTCAATCTACGGCCGTCCTCATCCTAACGATCGCCAGAGGATTCCCAATCTCTTTACAGGTTTTGGCAGTGGGCGCGATGCTAACGTTTCTTTGTCGTAGCGGGTATCCTACAGCCCGATGGAGTGTCAAACACACAGTTTACCAACAGAGCGAACATCCCTAACTTCTGGCCGGTTGAATATCGTACGTCTTCCCCCCGCTCCCTACTTTTACGGGACTCATACACCGATGTCCAACCTGTCGAAGTAAGGTTCCCAGCCTTCTCCCAGCCACCTGGTGGAACAACCAACTAGTTTATGTGGGTTCAAATACTAGCCCAGGGGAGTTCTGAGATACAATAAATCATGCAATCTACACACCATTCATTCTACTTGACCTATTTATGTCATTAGACGTCAGTCGCTCTTTCTCATTCGGCATATCGGTTTGGCAGTAAATAATTACTACGTGCAGGCTTTGGAAATCCTGGCGCTGTAGGCACGGGTCGCATCCACCCAGCCGGTGCGAATCTCCCTGCTCTGACGGTTAGATGTCTGAAACACCCACATGCATTCGAGCTGACAATGGCTAGCTCCATCTCTTTCTTTACTAGGTAGGATCTAATTTTGACAACGATACGCTAGATAATTTACAAGAGTGGCCGGGCTGTTACAATACGAGAGAATGACGAACAACCTGCCGGATCACAAACTACCAAAGGTAATGACCACAATGTTCCCAGTACCTCACGGCGTCCCCAGGCGGCGGAAAACTGAGCGCTGCAAGTTGATCGGAAGCTTGATCTCGTGGCACCGATAAAGACCGAGACATCGGAAGCTGCACCTGCATCCAGCACGTCAACCTATGATTTTGATTCAAAGATATTGATACAACATCCCCAGATCTGAATCAGCTCGAAAACTTTGCTGTACAGCGGTTTGTTTCAAAATGCCGTATTGTTAAATTCTTTCGGAAAGGAGTTAGAGAGGGGGAGAGGGGAGGATACGGGGTGGTGTTCATCCAGCCTTGCCCCGAACCCACCCCAAGCTTCAGCCACGCAAAAGATAACTCAGCATTTGCGACACAATGAATTTTGACATCATCAAGCTGTGTCAGCTAGGTACAATCACCTATCCAGGCATAACCCTAACCCTAGGTCACGGGTTGATCCTTTGTGGTTGGGGACGACATACATTCAGTTCCGCCTTTTCGACGCCACTGTCAAGACTTGACAGCCCTCTAGGCAATCATCATCGGCCTCATCTAGGTCGTCTTCACGAATGATTTAAAGCGCAGCTCTGGTATTCAGCTTCCGTTGCCCCATACGACTTTGACTGAGTGCGCCGGTACGAGTCATGGTTTTGCTCTCTCAGGAGCAGTTTGATAATTCCAAATCATTCATAAAATTAAAATATGAGGCATGCTTCAAAATATGAGACAAAGTCCGACCGTAAAATATGAGCGGTCATTATCTCCCAGTCCGTCGTTGCACCAGTGCGGTAACCGTATGCAGATGCATTGATAGTGGTGAGGGTGTTGTAGTAAGCGCTGTACACGTCGAACGAATAGTTCGATCTGAATAGCGCTTGCCTGATAGGACTAGGTCCGCTGTCAGCATTGACACCGTAGAGGCAGAATCTATCACCGCCGTAGGCATTGATCACGTCAACAGAGATGTTCGTGTTCTGCAAGGACATCCAATGGTAAGATCCAACGGGTACAGCAGGGCCCGTACCGGAAGCTTTCCACTCGCCGACACAAGGGACGATGTCTCAGCATCATCTGCAGGGATTAGAGAAGTGGTCGTTTGTTCCTGGTCCTGTTTCTTCCTGAGACGCCACTTCAATTAACCGCTGTCCAATTTGTTTTCTAATGCAGCTCTCGATGAAGTGCAGCACGCTAGACATCAAGGGCAGCCTAGTTTGAGCATTCGTTTCGAGCCAACCATCAGCCTCAGGCGTTGTGGCCGAAAGATTGAAGTCTCCTGCAGGCCTTGATGACGGAAAATTTAACGTGAGAAATAAAGTGCTGCAGAAGCGCAAAGACCTGATCTACTTGTGTTCTAGTACGAGAATGGTAACCGAAGCGCGTACGACTTTTGCTAGTAGTAAATAGCGTGAATGGCATGGACAGCGGCGCCCGAACGCTCTCAAGCTTGGCTCGTGGGGTTTTGGGGAGAGAGGGAAAAGGCACACAGAATTCCCACCCACGGATAAGCTGTGTGCATTTGTTTTGAGGAGTGAGCATGTTGGCAGCGTGGGTTTTTTATTTCCACCGCTACCTACTAGGAATGTATTGTTGATTAGGAGAGTTCGTTTGTGGATCCAGCTGCCTCTTTCTTATGAGGAATTCGATCACTCGGCTACGTAACAGGGACCCTCATTCCCATGGGTGCTTGAATTCTTGGATTTTTGATCAAATCCTCGCTTCCGCTAGCTCGTACGCGGTGCGCCCCAGCGTTCCGCCTTCGACAATACGACATGATGGAGGAGAAATGATAGATCGCATGGCGACCACACCCAAAGTGGCATACCGGCTACAACACATGTAAACGCCTTCATGTGAAGAACGACGAAATGTTCCAAGACTGGTAGGAAATTTGACATGGAATTTTTTGTACCAGTCGTTGACTTCCATACCCACCAGATGCTTTCGATTTTCTTTGTTTGGAATCGTGTATTTGCTGGCCGGAATCCTGAGCAGCAGCAACTGTAATGCTTACGAACGTTCCTGTGACTCTCTAGACATGCTCGAGACAGCCCCCGATCAGAAAGATGTCAGAACGTGCACAGATCTGGGATCCTTGGCTTATAAGAGATCCGTGGTTGGAGTGACGTAAAAGTTCAAAAAGCCATTCTCTGAGCTGAGTACCGTCATACCCGCGTGCGGCGGCTACATATGGTCGTTTCAAGGCCCGGCCTACTCGCCAACGCGTCATACTCATATAGACCAAGTAGCAAAATTCCTCCAAAGACTCCAGAAGGAACTCAATAAGCAGACCGACGGGACTAGGGCAGGCAAAGAGCCAATCAAGGTAGGCAAGAGGTCTGAATCGAGCAACGCCGTCCAGAAGCTCTCCTTATTCGTCGACTAGCTTCAATCAAATGCACCCGGGTCATTAATTGAGGAGCAACGCGAGTTCCGGCACACATTCAGTCACAGCTCACGTGGGTGCCACCTTCATTCTTCGACCCTAGGCACACAGGGTCTATGGTAACGGTTAATCTAGCACACTTTCATATGATGGTAGTGGCAGCGCAGCCATTAGCACGGCCCATAGCGACCCGTACGTACTTCGTCGACAAATGTACGATAAGAAGAGAGAGGATTGAGCAAGATTTAAGAAGCATGGATGTTTCCTGAGAATTTCGCTGTGTACTAAAGGATTCTCGATCTAATGCTGGTACCAAAGGTGTATCATTGTCTTGTGTATCGCCTGCGACGTGGATGTTTTTGGATATCTCGCTGTCTCTTAGTTGACGCAGCTCCAGACCAGATACAGACTCTATTTGACTGGAGGAGGCTTGAAAATGATCATCTTCATGATCCGAGTATATCATTCCGGTATATTACATTCGTGAATTTGCGAGCGGTCACGTAACGTGTATCGAACATTGGAACGTTAGCGCCGGCGCCGGCCGCCGCCTCAGCCTTCTCCGGCTCGAAGCTCTGGGCCACGCCAAGACAGGATGAGCACCTTCGCAACCTCGCCCTTCCCATCGCTACTCACCCAACCCAAGATGCTTCTTCCACACCTCCTCGTATCTCTTCTACCCACCCTCATATCCGCCGCCACCCTCACGCTCTCCGTCCCGCCCCACATCCCCGCCCTCCCTCCCTCGACCAGTGCAATCCTCACCACGCACGGGCAGCGCATCAAAGTGCCCGTAACGCGCAGCAACACCTTTGTCTTCCGCAATCTTACGTCGCCCTCTACTTCAGACCCTGCATCCTCGGGTTCGGAAAGAGGGATATCGGTCTCGTATCTGCTGGATATAGCGTGTCGCGACTACGATTTTCTCTCCTATGGGGTGGACGTTAAGAGTGGTGGGGTTGTGCAGGTGTATAGGGTGAGCAGGGGAGGCATTGTGACGGGTGAGAAGGTTACGGTTGGTGAAGCGCCGGTGGAGGTGAGGGTGTTGAGGGGTAGGGATTATTATGAGGCCAGGGCCGGATGTATGTGCGCTCCTATCTTGATAAAGCTGCGGAAAGGAGGAAAGGAAAGAGAACCGAAGGGAATGGAGATGGTGGAATTGGGCGACGTTACGGAACGGAGGAATCCTGCTAACGCACGAGATACAGTCTCGCCCCTGGACCTACTTAAGAACCCTATGATCCTGATTGCGGTGGTGGGACTGGGCTTCGTGGTGGGCATGCCATACCTGATGGACAGCAGTATGTCTACTTCCCTCCGCCCCTCCCCCGATGACCACGACAGCTGATGTCCTTGCGCACCATAGTGGATCCGGAGATGAAGAAGGAATTTGAAGAACAGCAGAAAAAGAGCATACTGAGCGGTGGAGCGAGCACGGCGAATCCTTTGCAGAATTTTGACATGGCGGGTTGGATGGCTGCGAAGACGTCCGGGAAGGGTACGGAGACTGGCAATGAGGGAAGTGGAAGGGATGTGAGGAGGAGGGGATGAGGGGCGCTACAGGGCAACTGTGTATGAGGGGTAGCTCTAAGATATATTAGCCGTAAATGTCTGGTGGATTTGGTGCTCGGTAGTGGTTCTTTTCGCAAGGTATTGGGCGTCTTTGCTGTGTGCAATCCGTCTAAGACGCCTGCCAAATCACAATGGGAGGGAAAGCTGATTGCGGGTGTTGTGAGGAATGCTACGTTCCCCAATCGTGTCGAAGTAGGCGTGTCTGCTAAGGAGATGCGGTGTGCCGCAAGGACACTGCAACAGTGGATCTGCGATTGTAGTAGCGGTGAAAGACTCGTCTGTTTACAGGCGGTAATTAATGTACATTCGCGAAGGATGAAGCAATACAGCCCTCTCCAAGTTCAGCTGACGATAATAACACCTAGCCTCCCTGATCGCTTGGGTATCTTGTGACATGCGTCCGTCCTCCATCCAGGCCTCCAGATTATGCACATGTACGTCACACAGCGCCAGCTTCCGTGTTTGTCGCCCGTCCACGAGGCCTTGTTCATAATCTTGTACAATATAGATATTACCAAGCATACCCATTATCACCAGGCATTTCATCATCTCCGTTCCAATCCTCATCACCACTGACCTCTTCATCAAGGAAATCGTCTTCTTTGAGCTGCTCCTCAGTAGGTCGTAGGTTGTCGATCAAGACATCCACTACATCGCAAAGGCCTTGTACGTACAATTCCGCTTCGCGATCGACAGATGTTTGTTGGGTATCTGGCTCAAGTATGCCGTCGTCGTCGATTGCTGAGTCTTCGCTTGATGAGTCATCAGAGCCTTTGCGGCGTCTTCGGCGACGAGGAGCTTTTGGCCGACTGGGAGAACTCTCAGACAGAGTGTAGATGTCTTCCCTCTGCGTTCTGGCTCTAGTGCTTCGGCGAACTTTGACCAACGGAGCGTCACTGTCGCTTTCACTTGCGTCTTTGACCGTTGTTTGAGGAGCCACCTCGACTCGGCTGGCTTGGATGGTGCCTTCATTGTTGAGGTTGGAAGCTGTAGCCCGCGTGAGAGTCTGCCGCTTCTCCTCCCGAACACCGGTCTTGCCCTTCTTTTGCTGTGATTTGAAAGCCTTGAAAGCGGAAATGGATTTGAGCTGCGGATTTGGCGGTGGCGACCTCCTAAGGAAAACGCGCCGAAGATTTTCCGTCCAATTGTCGCGGAAGGCAATCCTTTCTCGCCAACCGCTCTCATCGAGGCTAGCCTTGATCTTGAGCTGGCGAAGATCAGGCAACATTTCTGCGGAATCCGTCAAAGAGGAGAAGAAAAGCTCGGCCGTCTGAAGATTCCATTTCCGTAGATGGAAGAGCTCCAGATTCCGTAGAGTCACTGGCCAGGTTGGCCTTTCGTCATCAAGTAGGAGTGCGTCATATTTTGGATCCGTATCTCGAATCACGTTCAATGTGCCGAAGTATCGTAGGTCGGCTTTGAGGAGCTCCAGTTTTGGACAGGATTGGGCAAGATTTGTCAGGAAAGATAGATTCAGGGACTGATTATGATCCAAGATTAGCTGTCGCATATTCACCCCTTTCGCAGCGAGGAAGCCATCAAGCGAAGACGATTTTAGTACTGGACATTCCACGATCTCGAGGGTCTGGAGGTTATGTGGTAGTTTGGACAAGAGTCGGTCATTGACAGAGGACATGTGAAAATGTAGGTCTGTCAATTTTGGCAAAAGGTTGATGGCTTCTGCAAGCGTGTCTTCGCAAGGTCTGCCTTTCTCAACTGGGCCGGCGGGGTAGTTGACAAGAGCCAGACTTCGTAGGGTCTGGAAGGGCGGCATCAAGTGAACGTCTCTCATTTGCGCCAGTGGAAATGCGCTCTGGCCTTGCTTTGCCAGCGAGTGGTTCCATGTCCAGTCTTGAAGCATGATCTTGTTTTCCCGCAGCGCCGTAACCATCGAACGGTGATACACAGCTTTACTGCCAGCAATATTCCTGGATCTGCCACTTTTTCTCCAAGCCAGATTATCTGAGTAAAGGTGTAATGTAATGCCTCGCAGCTGGGGAGTCAGGGACACGAGCGCTCCAAGGTCCAAGGGGTCCCTGCCGACAAATTTGTGTAGCAATGTGCTGGAAGCTTCCAAGTCCAGATATTTGATTTTTGCTCCATAATTGAAGTATGACGTCTCATCTTGGGTTTCTAGGTGCGAGAGGAGGCGATGAGCTCGACTTGGCGTATCGAGAGGTGGCGAATAGTAAAGGGCAGAGAGAGCAGGCTCAGCGAAGGCTTTACAACAAAGCGCAACACTGTACAACCAGTTGATGGACGGCGTGGGTTGGAATGTATCGCTTAGGAGAGGTCGAGAAGCGTAGCTGAAGATGGCGAGCAGGATGTGGTAGGGCAGAGTCGGCCAAGGCATGGTCTTGCCAGTGAATTGAATGACCGTATCGCGATGTTTCTTCGAGTCTGTATCAAGCCCACTAAGCTTGAGTCTCTTTGGGCCAGCATGGTGCCGTCTGTGTCCCGGCCCAGATGCTTTGCGTTTCTTTGAGGTACTCGACTGCGGAGAGGTAGTGGTAGGAGCTGGAGGCGGAGCACGATGCCGTTGTGGTCGCGATGGAGCGGCTTCGAAGTCGTCCTCGCCGGCACATTCATTGAACTCTTCCCTGTCGCTGTCGCTGGTCTGCTCGCGATAGGATACATGGTTGCGCGTAGAGCGAGTTCTGGAGGGTAGTTTCATGTTTCTCACAGAGCGGAGGCGGGACGCCGAGGGAGCCATGAGGGAGAATTAATTGCAGACAGAACGAGGAGCCATATATATGCGATGCCTCAAGAAAGAATGAGCCGAAGCAAAATGTGTTGGCAGAAGTTGTAGAGGTTGGAAAGTAGGAGTGATGAAGTCGAAGCCTAAAAATACCTAGTCCTAGATGTGAATGAAGCGGCATCGGCATGCGCTAACAGTGGTTTGCGCTAAGATAAGGACTAAGGTAAAGTACAGTACCTTAGTGTCATAATCCCTGTGTCGATCTTCGGCAGCTGCCTTCCGTTCATCCTCTGAGATTTGGCAAGAGCTCCAACATCCTTCTTCATTTTGCCTCACGCTGTTTGTTCGTACCATTGTGAGTCTCGGCAATTAACAGTGTGCGAGAGTCACTTTGAGCCCTGCATGTCTATCCTTAGGAGATACGCTCAGCTATCAGTAGAGAAGCATGGGACGTGATGCTAATTTCACCTAAAAGTCCAAGGCACATAGTAGCTGAGGCACGATGTATGAAGTCTGACACATTATCATCATGGTATTTTTTTTTTAATTTCAAAGTGGCCAAAGAATTCAAAAAAGGAGTCGACCGCATTGAAAACATCCGGCCGATGGCAAACGACGCTCACTCAGAACCATTCGGGTGGGAGGGCGGGAAGGAATATTGGCGGGTCTCGGGGAACGCCCCGTGCCCGCTACCACCGACAACCTCCCCCGCAGTTAACTTAGCCAGCTCTACGATTATCGATCTGATCCTATCTACTACGTCTAAGCATCTCTGTCCGGTAGGTGCTGCTGTTTGGAATCTTCAGGGGCCTATCTGTGGGAGGTTGGACGATTATCCTCTCGAGGGTCCTCCATATTATACCTCATGAAAGAAGACTGGCTGTCGCCACATGTAATAGATAACGGCAGCTCCCGGTGTTAACCTGCGGCCTGTGCTAGGCGATGTCTCCTGTAATCTGTCCCAGGAGCGAGTCAGCTCCAAGTCCAAGAGCGCATCAAATCGCGGCTCAATTCTGATTGGCGCCGTTCAGCCTAAGATGAGCATTCAAGGTCGTGCTCCATATCACCGTCTTTATCATTTGTGCGCCTCCGTGTGATTATTCTAAACTCCGAGAGTGTTTCAAATGTCAATGGTTAAAACGCGACGTGGTTTAATCAGATGTTAGTCCCTCCATCTTCGGTAATTAACGCCATTCCCGCTGTCATATTTCTGATGGCCAAAATTGAAATCTCTTCTTTCATGAACATTGCAGTAATTCTTCAATTTCTGGCATGCGGTCACAGTGGCCTTCAACATGGCCCCCTTCAGGAAAGCTGTGCCTTCTTGCTTGTATTGCCTCTCCCTACCTAGCTTATGCGTCGAGTTCTTACCCCGTGTTGCCAGACGCACAAGCATGCAGTCAATTCCTTGGGCGTCCCCTCGGTCATTGGGCGTGCAAAGCAGCGGTGGACAACCTACCCAGGGGCACCCTTCCCAGCATCTTCACTACTCGTGGACATACCGCAACCAACAATTACATCCAAGTTCCAGTCCAGTACACGGATTTTGAACCCGAGCCGAGCTGTATGGTCACTATCAATTTGGACGGCCATTCGCAGAATGATCAATTCGTGTTCGTTCCGTGGGATGAGATTAGGGAGATGGCCCAGGTTATTTTAGATACTTGCGTTGACTATTTGAACCGTGGCGGGTTCATAACCTACGGTGTCGGGAGGACACTCGAGTCCCTGATCCATCCTACGACCTATGGGGGAGACAACGCCGAGTTTCCTACACCGGCCGGGGTCTGGCAGCCGGACGGGACAGTCGAATTTGTCGCAATACCGTCCATTCCTGCCATCAATGAATACAGTAAGTCTTGCGGCCCTACCCTGAATGCTCCACCAGCAATCCAAAAATCTCCAACAACTGTCTCCTCCTAGCTAAGTGGACACTATCTTAGATATACCCTATTACATGACGATCACAGTGTCAGCTCCTTCGTACCGGCTGCATCCTGAGGTAACTGACTATGCCATTTCCTTGGCGGTGATGGGAGAGTGAGCTCACTTGATTTTTCCTTGTGCTGCAAACACTAATTGTCAAGCACAGTGCAGAGAATCAATTCCTAAGATCCAGGACCACAACGATTCAGAACAGCCTCGCGAGGATACTCAAGGGACTAGAATCCAACCAGAACTCATTGATAGGTCAAGACCACCCACGATGGTGGCAATACCCCGTAGAACCTCCGACTCCGATCCCCGTCAACGTGAAATACGCCTGTGATGAAACACTTGGGAGTCCCAGTACCGCCAATTGCGAGGCTGTATTGTATGAATTTGTTCAGTCTGGCGATGTAATACTTGATCCCGCGTCGGGACCAATCATCAAAGTAATAGGTAAGTCACCGCACACTCGATTCAACCTACAGGGCCGCGCTGATTTTGGGTCAAACCCCAGGGAATTGCGCCATAGCTGTAGGAGCAAACGAAAGGCATTCCACAACGTGGGATATGCTGCGAAGTGTTGCCGAGACTTTGATCGCAACGTGTATAAGCAGCCCCGGCTCGGGCACTCTTGGCGGTACAGCCATCAGTCAGACGATTCGTAGTCGAAGGAGGAGCCAATACCTCGGCAGGAGACAGACAGGTAAGATCTCCTTCCGTTAACAGCCCTTCGAAAAAGGCTCAAACAAAACCAAGGGATGCTGCAGGTGGCCTTTCCGCCTACATTCGAAATCGCAGTGTATCTCCAGCCACCGTTCAACGGACCTGCAGATGCGACATGCTCGTGGGGAGTGGTGGCGAGCCATCAAGGAGACGTCCGACAATGTCCGGCCAGGTCTGCGCCTTTCCGCCCGCCAGAACGAATCCTAGGCGCGAACGCCACAATGGCCTTAAATTTGACAATTCCAAACATTTCTGCCTCTTCTGTGAATCAAAGTGCCACCTATACGAGCACGGCAGCCTCTGGTGTACCTTTGAAGCCAGTTGCTGCGAGCGAGCCTTGCATTGAGTCCTCACTTGAACTAGTGACATGCTCAGGTCTCAGTTGAATCGACCACACACATGACAATGGAAAGCGTATGTTGAGTGCGCAAGAGTTCACCGTCTTTTTGGTGCCGCTACCTCAGTATCGGCCAACTCCGGGACCATTGGATCTGACTAATTGCAGGTCCTCGTATAGCATTCGTCATTAAGTGTACGGAGCAAGTCTTTATCCTGCATGCATGCCTCCGGAAATTGAAGCTGTACATAGACTTGAAGGATGCTGCATTCGTGCGTGGCATCGCTTTAGCAGCCACTGACATCTAACACTATCGATTCAATGCAAATTTTCCGATGCTATCGACCCGGTTGGAAGGACCCGAGCATTGAGTCCAATTGTTTCCATTGATCTGTCTTATGCAGGTCATCCCGAGAAGGTCCCTGCATAACCTCCCCACCATTCGTGGACATTCCTGATACGGTCTGGTCCAGACGAGGTCATTGTGTCCGATTTTAGGACAGAAGAAAAATGCCTCCTGATTCTATTCGCAAATTGTACTCGAATGCGCTACAAGCGGCGAGCGACATTTTCGCGCGCTCCGAGCAAATGTCTGGAGCATACGAGCTTGGCGGGACATACGGGCCGTGCATATAGTTCTTCGCCGGGAACAAGTTGCAAGAAAGAAAGGATTGTAAATAGTGGCGTGCTCCCTCATCATGCCCTTTCTAATCCTCAATCCTCCCTTCTATAACGTAAAGGTCTCGTTAGCTAGTAACTACTTTCGTTTGGTCACCTCATTCTGTTTCTCCTCTTTTAATGTCAATAGCCTTCAAATGCGTGTATCACTCACGACTTCCTACATCACGATGCGTACGACCATCGCCGCCATTGCGACCTTCCTCACCATTCCTTTCGCCTTTGCTATTCCTCAACCCTCTTCCACCAGTGTAGCCAGCGGCATAATAACCGCACCCAGTAGCTACTACCTCAAAACTCGTGTCGTTGGTCATAGTCACAACGATAAGGATAACCCTTACGTCAGCAAATATCACGCCGGTATAAAGATTTCTGGGCTCAGTCACTCTGTGTCCGCCAGAGAATCAAGGATTACAGCCGCTAAAATCCTGCAGGTGCTGGCACGGCCGACTTGACACTCCAATCAATCGACTTTGCCTCCCCCGCCTTCTTCAACAGCGGTTATCAGGTATTCAACCTCGACCCTCCCGGACCTTTCGGCATCATAATGAGCGACTATGACAATGGCGGGACTGGTAACTCCGCATTTCTCTACCAGCAGACCCAAGCGTTCTGACTTCCCGTAGGATGGAACCTTGTGACCACTGCCCCCGGTTACGGGGATGTTGGATTCTTCTTTGATGCCACCGGGTTGCAATATGAATTCCAAGAGATCGGATTTGCGGGATGGCTTGGTACGTCAATCTGTGTGACGGCTTTACCACGGCCACAGAGGGGGGAGAAGTTGGCTAATGCCAGTTTTTGTAGCATGTGACTGCTGGCATGGAGCTCCCCAGCTGTTCTGGCAGTACGCCTATCTACCGGAAACGCTGCCGAGTACTTGCGCAGAGGTCGAGCTATTGCCGGTTGCTATCTAGCATCACGGAGATGCGCTACGGTAAGGCGTGGCTTCCACAGGATGAGAAGAGCTGCGTGATTTTGATGGGACATTCTGTGGAAAACCAATCCTGCTTCTAGCATACTATGCTTAATTACGTCTGCCTCAAGCTTAACCTATTTCAAATCAGTCCTCCGGACATATGTACTGTCAAGCCGAAGAAATGCGACCATTTGCCCCTCCAATCCACACAATCATATGGCGATCCCTGTGGAGGATGTGACCTCGCGCGGCTACTGCATGCATAACCAATAAAACGGTTCCGCGCCCCAAGACGGAGGTACCCTTTTCATCAAGGATGCGGAGAAGCTCGCGCTCGTATTGTGACGTTGCAGCGGTGGAACTGTCACCATTGAAAGGGAGACTGCGCCCTCTGCTTCTCAAATTTGCTCCATGTAAGCACTCTAAATCCTGACAAATCATGCGAGCCTACTGCGCACGCATGTCACACCAAGCGATTGCGTGCGAATATGCCCGCAGATCCTCAGTCAATGACACGTTTCACATTCGGCACGGTTCCAGTATGCGTTTACTGCCGAAATGCGTGAACAGTGATCAGGTTGCTGAGGATTTACTGGAGATGTTCCAGTCCGAGGCACTCGCTGGTTAATACGAGCTTATTGCGTCAAGATGCACCAAGTGTGTTGATAGCGACTGCTGATGCTGGAGGAAGGCGGTGAATGAATGAATGAATGAATGATATATCTGATTACGTGCCCTCTCTGCCATTAATCGCTGTTTATTGTTCCAACTTACAACCAAGTTTTCAATCCGTCTGTCTGTTTGTCTATCTCCCTTCTTCTTCGTCCTCACAACCCGCTCATCTTCAATTTCGCCAAACTGCCCTCCATCCTCCCTCCATTGCTCTGTCTCATCACCCTACCACTCGCCCTCGCTTCCCCTCTATCCCACAACCTCTACCACCAATGCAACCATCCCCCCACCAAGCCGCTACTACCTCCAGACCCGCTTCATCGGCACAGCATGCCAGCTGCACAGGCCAGCTACGTATTCCCGGTCCGATGCTCCTCTCGCGCGGTGAATTCTCAACCCAGCTATCTATGCCAAAGACTTCGCTCTCGCTAGCGTTGGACGAGGAGACGAAATCGAATGTTTGGCTTTCACGATCGCCAGCAACCATATCATACGCAGCCCGAATCTCTCATAATTGATAATAGCGCCGGCGGCTGGCATCGTCTTTTTTTCGGGGAGATTCAAGGCTTTTTCGAGGGCGGGGCAGGCACGGGGCTAGGAAAGGGGGGCGGCGAGCAGTAGGGATCTTTAGAATATTGACAAGAGTAGCACCAAGGAGGCGAGTATTCCCGTCGTTGAACGCCCTTTCTGAAGTGGTTTCGGTTGAAATGGATAGATCTTGCTGTTTTGATATTGAAAATTGATGTTGATCCAGGAAGATTTTCAGCGTTGGAATGTCGCTTTCGTTCAACAACTTTGCTGGGCAGAGCCTGAGATGAGAAGGAGGATTGAGGAGAGCAAGGATGGATTGGCCACCCACGAAGCTGCTGCACCACGGTTACTTGGAGGGGTTGAAAAGAAGTAGGAAGTAGGTAGAGATACATCATGGTGGGGTGCTTGTCCGGGCGGCTGTCGCTTGTAGCATGCAGGAAGCTAGTAGTCCTTTGATGCAGGTCCACCCTATCAGAGCGGTGACAGTCTAGAGCGGGTCGAGAAGATGCCAACCATCCAAAATGATCCAAGCCCAACTGATCTCGGTCCATACGGTATGGTACTCCCTCTCGCAGGTTGTCCCACGTTTCGACTTCCAATCTCAAGTCTCGGACTCTCGCCCATCTATTTCCTCGCTCCTGGCACCCATAGCGCTGAGACCCTCACGAACAATGTTTGTCGCGCAGGTATGTTGACTTTGCGTTGAGAGGAAAGGTGAGTTTTTTGATCCTCTGGCTCAGTAAATTCCAAAACTCTTCTAGCGACCGAGAGGAACAAGAATGAAGAGCAAGAAACGGGGGGACAGCCGCCGGTATGTATTCAAGGTCTTCCAACATGGCAACTCGGCTATCCTGCAAAGCGTGGCTGTGCCTCTCCAATCACTAGCCCCAGGTCAAGCTGTGGCGAGAAAATATTAATACTGGGTCCCCCTATTCCCCGAAGATTATGCCATGCCGTTCATAAGGCTTAGTCCATTTTATCATCTTTGGCTATGCTTTGCCCCCTCAGCCTCTTTCAGCTCTTCGTCTTCAAGAACTAGCAATCCATGTCGCCAAGGATCCGGGAAACCAACAAGAGAGTCCCACTGCAAAGTTCCAGAAAAAAGGCAAAGTCGGCGCAGACCAGGTCGCCCTACCAGCCGTCCTGGCGCCTGGCAATTCCGCTGACTCCATTCACGCTGCCGTTGAATCTTTTCCCAACGGACTTATGGTGCATTCGCTTCTGCTGCCATCAACGAACTGTGGAACGAAGACAAAGCTTTCGTCGTAAAGATATCGGACCAACCTTGGCACCAGGATCAGCGCCTGCCTGCCAACAGTTTCCAGCCAACACATACTGCGACATTGACGGGCTCGCTTGGATATTCATCCGCTGGACCTTGACACTACAGATCCCATCCCCTGCGAAAAGGGTCTCGGCGCTGGACCTGGCCAACTGGCAAGTGTGGGGCGCTTACGACTCACTGGCCAACAACCTGGCGGGGAACGCGAACAGCCTGGGCAAGTACGGCCCCGACTTGGGAATCATCGCCCCATCTGCGTGGCGCGTCCAGCACGATTACGGCTTCTGGACCGACGAAACGCCCCAGGCCACCGTCACCTCGGTGCTGGCGAACATTACGAACCTCGACTTGAGCCACATCTTGTTGTGGAACTTGGCCGTCTGCGATCTCGATGGCGTTCTCGACGGCGCCCATTTCAAGGCTTCCGGCACTGTGAGTAGCCCCACTGTGGACCAGTCAGCCGACTTGTCATATGACTGTCATGCTAATAGTTGACGCTGTAGCAATGGACGGGGCACATTACCTGTGCCTGCGCGATGATGAAGGACCTAAACGGCAAGGCGTTCCCGCTACCGTTGACTTCTAATAACGCGATTCCGCTGAACATATGCCGGCAAGCGTGGACAAAATGATGCGGGCACCATGCGATGTGTATTTCGTTTCACTCTTCCTCCGAGCGGCATTCTTTCATCGAGAGATCTTTCTTCTCTCTTCTTCCTGCAAATTCACACTCCCTTGCTGTGTTAGACCCTTTGCTGTAAATATATCGAGCGTTTTGAGGTTGGGGGAAGCAGAAACGCGCCGACGGCCACGCAAACCCACGGAAATGTTGTGTTTTTGGCGCTCTTTTTTCAGTATGGCAATACTGCCTGGTGCAGCCTCCAAGGATAAAAGATCAAAGAATTCCAGATCGAATCGACCTTCTGTTTTCCCATATCCTGGTGGAGGGTACCATGCAAGAGGTTGTCGGGCGAACGTTCAAACAGACGAAAAGTAAATCTTTTAACAACTCTCGATCTCGCTGTTCTTCGTCTTCTTCAGGCGATATACATGTTCGTCCTGAACGTTTTGTTTTCTGGTCAATGGTTTCTTCTAGTGTTCATCAGGCTGCGAAAGTTGAGTATCCTGTCAAAGTTGCACATTGATACTTGAGTCCGAATTGAAAAAGAAGACTGACGTTGCTTGTGGGCATTCTCATGAACCAAGAGAGTAAATCTGCTCTGCTGAAATTAAGAAGCTAAACAAAACGATGCGCTAATACAAGGTGCCAAATGGGGGATACTACATCTGGCTCTAAGGCCCACTGACCATGTTCCTCAAATCCACATTTTCAACAATAACCATGGTGATCCAAACGGCCGTCGTCACGGTCCACGCCAGCACCGTATACGTCCCAATCACCACCCCGGCCGTCAGCAACAGCATCACCTGCGCGAATTCCTGAACGAATTGCCCGAACCCGTTCGGGAACTCCCACGCCAACTCCGCCGCGATGGCCCCCACCGCGTCCGCCATGACGTCGAACGTGAGCCGGAGCAGCCCGTACGTGATGACGTAGTTCTGCACGGTGGGGCCGAAGCCAAACTCGCCGCCGGCGAGGACAGTAATGTTTCGGTAGTATTCGGTCGTGCGGTAGTAGGCGAGGGAGGAGGAGACGATGACGTCGGCGTGCGTCCAGATGAGGCGGAAACCCATGACTGTCAGGTCACTGGCGAGACTGCGTTTGGTGAGTGGCGGTGATGATGATGATGATGATGATGATGATGATGATGATGATGCGGCGGAGTGGAGGCGGAGGTGGTCCGTTATGTGGTTGTGGCGCTGGAGGAGGGCGGGGGAGGGATGATTGGATGAGGACAGCCAGTCCTTTTTGTTGCGCCGGGCATGGCGGTTGGACTCATCGGGAAGGGCTCTCGTTGTGATGAGGGCGTGGAGATTATGGTTGGGAACGTCCAGTGATTGCGCCGGGACGTTGTTGTGAGGTTGAATCGGTTTTTTGGGGGGCTGGATATGGTTTGTGGTAGGTGAGCCGAAAGAGGTACCTGCTGCGATGACGAGAAATACTATTGCCATTGACAGGGGCAGAAATGACAGAAACGAGCAGCGCATGCTGTGGACTTTTCCTCAACGTGACTTGAATTGCCAATCTTTGAGGAGATACGATGGCAAAGGTACGAAGAAAACTTGTAGTGAAAAGCGGACCATTTCGTTACCTTACCTTACCTTATTGTCAGTGATTTCACAATGGTCCACGTACTAGTACTTAGTCGAATGTCGGGAATAACAGTCTCACTCTTTTGGGCGGGCCGTGGTGAAACGCAATATGCGCATCCACCTACAACAGTAGAAGCGCGTTTCAACGGACGGTTATGTACTGTATACCTAACTTTATAGAGGTCTAATCCCGCTCTCGAAAGATAGCTCTATACTTAGACGGGGCGTTACCCGAGATCCGTAGCCGTCTAGCTTCCGAGGTTACTTAGTCACCATGCAATGACTTAACATTCACAGGCCAGATGAAATACTTTACAGTTTAATAATAACACTAAGGAACCACCGAACGAAGCGAACCAGATCCCCCACCATGGCAAACTTCTCCTGCATACCAAACTTTCATTCTCAGTATCTATTCTCTATAAGGAATATAAATCCTTTACGTTACGTCCTCCTTGATCTCGCAAGCCTCCCATAGATCCTGTCTCAGAGCACAGAATACGCCACTGCTACAATTTCCAAGGATCAAGACACTACAGTCTGCTATGGCAACAAAAGATAGCACCATCCCAAAATCACTCGCGGTGACTCGGCTGGTGCACACATCGGCGGAGAAATGTAGGCGCCAAAGTGGAATCTGCCGCTAAGGGCATCCATGTGCAACTTATCTTCGGACAGTCCCCCTCCGACAGTCCCCCGTCAAACTAAAAAAGCCTCCCGCGCACGATCTACACGTTAAGCTTTCGGCCCCACCTAATTTTAATAAGGGGTTACGCCAGCCCTATTTATTCGATTATAAGAGACTTTAAGTGTAAATAAATTCCTTTCACTTTATTAATTTTAAAGTGATTCTTTAAAGCGATAACGTAGTATTTAAGATATATTATAAATAAATCGAAGATAGTATAATAGTAGTAGAATAAGAGTTTATATTATATATAACTATTATTAAGTTATAATATTAATCGTATATATTAAAATTCGCTAATATATATAAGAGTATTAATATACTATTATCTTTCTAAAAAACTATTATAATTAAATCGCTAGTATCGACGAGAAGATTAATATTAATAGATCTTATAAGTAGATAAATATTTATCTTTCTCTTATATTCTTATATTTTATTTAAACTTAACTTCTATTTCACTTATTCGTATATTATAAATATTATCGAGTATACTACGACGGTTATAAATAAGAAAAAGCGTATTTTTATTATCTTCTTAATTATTTATAAGCGTACTTCTATTAATAATAAGATTTTTTCTAATATTAAAAATACTATAATATTATATTATAGTTATCTCGAAGATAATAAATATATAAACTTTATATAATATATAAGTAATCTATATATTACTTTATAAATAATTAATTTATAATCTCTCTTTAAATTTAATAACTAATAAGAACGATATAATTTTATATCTTAAGAATTAATCTTATACGTAAGAATTTACTATAATAACTAATTATAGCGTTAGAACTTATAGTCTTTCTAGAATTATAATAAAAGTTATCGCTAAGAATCTATACTATAAGATCTCTCTTACTCGTTAAGATATAACGTTCTATTTAAATATTTATATCGTGAAATAAAAGAAATATCGACAATACACCTATCAGTTAGATATCTACTATGCCAAGGCCTAGCTATACTAAGTTGGGTGGCTGCGGATATAGCCGGTAGCCACATTAGTGTGGACGGGGGACTGTCGGAGGGGGACTGTCCGAAGATAAGTTGATCCATGTGCGCCCTTCTCATCCCTTTCCCCCTAACCCCGATCGCCTTGCCGGCAATTACCAAAGAGTATTGACGCGTTCTAGGGCATCGGAGAAGCCATTCGCCGTAACGTCAACGTGGCCGTCAATTCTCCCAGCGGCGATAAAGAGAGGGTGCAACGGCATGAGCAGATTGCCAACAAGGGCGTGGCCGAGATAGATCAGGGAAGAGCTGTGAGAGGATCAGGAGAGGCATACCCGGGTCCTGGGTTGGGATCGGGGAAGGTGGGAAGATAGATGGTGCGGGGCTGAATGAGATTATAGGGGGAAGCTAAGAGCAGGATCACACATGGTACCCGAGTATGTCTGGCTCGGCCTCATCCCTCTACCAAGCTCAAGCAAAAGCTACGACCAGCTCTCAGGCACGGCCTTTTAGAAAGCGGGCTGTTATGTCTACTTTTAATTACATGGACAAACCAAAACAAAACCCGAAACCCAGGGGGAGAACAAAATAAGCGACCGGCATCCGACCAAGAAAAGAAAACCACCGTAAATGGAGACCACCAGCTAAATAACAGACGAAAGAGTGGGACACCCCGGGGCCATGGTCAAAAGGGGTGCGGCCAATCCAACACACCCGGACCAGGCTTGCGCTACAGACACCCCATTACAAAAGGCCCCGGGGCCGGCAGGGCCGCGCAGGGCGCCCCGGGGGGCCAACAGTGGCAAAACCCCCAGCCTGTCTTCGGACTCCACAACACTCCACTCAATAGCCTACAGCTATCTCTACAAGTAGGCCATTCAGATAGGCCATTATGGCAAGTTAAATACCGAACAACCCCAAGCAATTAATCCACCGAATCATACCCCAAATTGGTGTAGGGGTATGATCAGTAATAGGTAGATTCGGTAAGATTCATAGTTTCGGGGTAGATCGGTAATTAGCCCTACATACGATGCAACAATTCAGCTCATGCAACAATTCAGCTCATGCAACGTGGACCTCCATATGTGTCTAGACATGATGATGGGCCTGTTGAGCGGTATTCGGCGTTTGGTTGGCTCCATGGGGAGGCGGAAACAGGAGACTGATGCAAAAGGCGGTATGATCTTTCCCCGCAGCCCGAAGGACGCGCGCTTATCGATGGAATCTTCTACTAACTTGGGGAGCAGACATATACCGATCTAGCACGCATCCAAAGGTCTGAAGCAGAAATAGGGGCCTTGGAATCTGCAGTCTCACTCGCATGGGATTCCGAAGGATTTTATTTCCAGACGCACGTAAGCACTGTGCCAAGGTGCTTGCATGATTCGCTTCGGCTCGATTTCGATTGGCCATTCGCTCTGCACCAGCCTTTCTTCGGCTGTGGAAGCGAGTTCATTTGTCCGCCCATGGGATTGGGTTGGCCTCTTTCAAATGGTTATCCAAGCACCATTCAGCTCGACCGTCGTAGTCGACCTCCATCGCAATTTACCTTCTTCATCCCTCTCAATCTAATGATACGCCGTAAGTGCTTTATATCATCGTCGCTACTCTCTCTTCAAGAACCATGCCAATGAATCAAGACATCGTGGACCCTGCAAGATTCGGCCAAAGGAGACTTCTGGTGCGCAACTCACATCTCTGCAAGATTGGGTGTTGACTTCGAGATAGGGGACGTTGTGGGCAGGTGTAGCAGTCTCGTTTTGCTTCTTACTGTTCCGCTTCTACGTTCGCCTCAAGATATTCCGCCGCCTTCATATCGAAGACCCTTTCGTTCTTGCAGCATGGCTGATGAATCTCGTCAACGCTGCCATTTGGCAGAAGACCGCAAAGGAGCTATACTCAGTCATTGGGGTCGAGAGCGGGCATATAGCCATGCCTGCACCGGAGTATTCCTCACATATCCACGTCGAACTCCACAGCCTACTTGCGTCCGAGCTACTCTATTACACGGCTTTGTGGAGTGTCAAATTATCTTTCCTTTTATTCTTCCGCAATCTCGGCAATTACATACGACGACATATGATACTTTGGTACTGTGTCCTTGCATTTACAATCGCTTCATACGCTGTTTGCTTGTGCGTGCTCGATTACAAGTGTCTGGTAGAACCAAGAGGCATAGGTAAACATTCCTCAATTCCGAGAGAACCCGAACTGATACACGTACTGCACAGCGGAGTGTCGTAGTGTCCACGCCGCCCACTTTGTGCCTACCTCTATTAGACTAGGTACCGTATTCGACACTTCATCGGATGGCCTTCGTAAGTCATAACTTTATGACTCATTTGAGACTCAACAGCGGAATCTGACAACTCGCTAGTAATCCTGATGTCGACAAACCTCCTCTGGAACGCGTTGATAGATGTCAGGAAGAAGCTAGCATTGACCGGCATTTTTTCCTTGACAATATTCGTCATCAGCGTCTCGATTACGCGAGTCGTCCTTACAACAAGCGGGCCTCGGCTCGATCTCACCTGGCTTCTCCTATGGAGTGGGCTGGAAATGACAGTCGGTACGCATTTCATGCCCTATTCTATGATATCTTTCCCCTTAACTCTGCAGCTGACTGAACACCACTTTAGCAATCATTGTCGCCTGCCTAGGCTCTTTCAGAATACTGTACACAAGTTCAGAACGCTCCAGGCGTTCCGCACGCATCGAAAATCAAACAAACAGAGATGCAGAGTATCTAGGCAACGCTCCTGGATTCCCACTCAACGCCCGAGTGCGCAACTCGACATCTATCAATGCAAGCGAGTACAACCATAAGAAGCGGCTGGATTCAACAGATACATTCGAAGAGGCTATACTTCCCATGGACAACGTCTACGTTCAGCATAAGTATAGCAACTTTTCTAGACCAAGGATGAGGTACGAAGAAACACCATCACCGCTAGAGACCCCAGTGGTCCGGCCTCACTGTCATTGTTCACCATCATTCGTTGGACATCAGGGTTCAGGGTTGGAGGACGTTACGCATTCGAATCACTAAAATCGAATAACAATCGCAGGTGCTCAGCACGCATTTGTACTGAATTCGAAGGCTTTGAAGCGTGTACTCTAACACCTGTTACAACCGTCTCTCCAAAAATTGTCTCAGTGTAGCAAACTTCAGCCCCAGCATTGGGCTCTAACTCAATTCCCCCCCATATTTCCCCCTTGATTTAGCGGGAGTATTGATCTTCATCTTCATCTCCAACACGATTACTCGTAACCGCGCATCTTCCTTGTCCCATGGGTGTCCTCAAGCAGTTAGTGAGTGGTCCTATCGAACGGACGAAAGGATTTTCCTAGCCGTATCACATGCATATGCAACGGCTCAACCCTGTGCCCCCCCCCCTTTTTTTAAGGAAGATGGCTGGCCGGTGCGGGTTTCGGCCCAAGATGTTTTTCCCCCCCTCGTCAGGATAATTTCGGCGTTTCCGGTGATGAGGATTGCCTACGTATCTGCACCCAGTCTGTTGCATTGCGACGAACGAAAGATGCACGAGCTTGCAATTTGCAGCCTTAGTAGGATGCAACCGGGTAATTCTCTCAATTTGCTAATCTAATGCTCATAGAAGCGATCGCCTTCATTGTGGTGAAGGATGGCTTGTTAGGGAAGAGGGTGTCTGTTTGGAGTGAGGACTCACGTGGGTACCAGCGACGATTACAAGAATACAGACCCTCCTGAGGTCAAACAAATGCGCCCACGATCAAAAGTGGTATGGTCATCTGGTCTTTTGCGTCTTGGGTGAACATACACTGTCGTCTGTTTTCATAGTCGGGGACATTGAACCCGCGCCAATTGTGGGGAATGTCAGGTAACAAACCCGGAAACTTTTGGCGGTATTCCATCGTCTGGCGCCTAGTGTGCACCATGTCGAGGCTGTAAGGCTGAGCCCCTGAATTGTGCACTCTGCCAGACGATGGGATAGCCGTGGCGGGTTAGATGAGGATCACTTGGCTCTTCTTTCACGTAGAAGGTTCGTAGTCAGCACCACGTACTGGTGGATCCCACGCTGGCTTATACCACTACGACTGCGCCTTAAGAAGCGGGACGGGTTTTGCTAACCGTTACGACTAGACCTGTAAGCCGTAGGCCTGCAAGCGTATGACCGCTCGCCCACACAATCTCCTTGCCTGGCAGCGCGCTTTGCATAGCCACTGCAAAAAAGCTGGCCGCAAGGCTGAGGCTAAGCGGCTGAGGAAGATAGATGACGGCGCTAAACAACCTCGAGGCTACTATAATCTTTAACTCAAGTCTTACATCCTTACCACCTAGACTTCTCGGATTCTGAATCTCTTGAAACGGGCAATGTTGCCAGTCGTCGCGACATTTGGCTCTTTCGGTGACATAGTATCGCTCTGCCTCATCATTAAAGACCTAGTGAAGGCAATTGACGATAGTAGAGGCGCCTGTGCGGAATACCAGGAAATCATCAAAGAAGTATGGGCTCTCGACCGGATTTTGCTTCTGGCAGAAGATCTGTGGAGGCCGTGCGAAGCTAACATCGAGCTGATAGGCCTCCGTGAAATGGCTCGTCACATAACGCATCAATGCCGTTCTTCCATCGAGAAGTTTCTCGAAAAGCTCAAGAAGTATGGTCCAAAGCTAAGTGATGGTGGGTCAGGGAGCTCGATACGGAATACAAAAATGAAGATAAGATGGCAGGTGGATCATTCAGGTCAATTGACGAAATTCCGTCTCGAAATCCATGCGCATTGCTCTTTCATTTGAGGTGTCACAGACTTCCCAGATTCAATGGTAAGCCACACTCATTCCTGACAGTGTCGGAGCTGACACCTTTCGAATAGTGCTGATTGTGGAATGTGGTGTCGAAGTATCACCGAGCACAACGATGTTGATCCACCTCCAACCGCGAATGGCCCAAAGAACTTCCACGGGCAGGAGCACTGAATTTGGCCCACAGTCTTCAGACTATCTTATTTTAGGACACGTTCAAAATGGGGATGTCACTCGCTTCAAACGAGTCCGCGTTCTATCAATAATAACACGCGATTTAGGGTTCTCATTCTCACGCATCACACATACACAGGGCACATAGGTATGAGGTATCAAGTGGTTGGGCCGTCCCCGACGCCGGGATAACAGCTGAATAGAGGCCTGAACAGACGTATTCGTACCCCAGCGCCGAGAAAACTCCCATGCCTATGGCATAGACCTGGAGTGAAATAGTAGCTAGCTATGTACAGGTGTGGGTGGGTGGGACAAAAAGTATGCAATGGCTCTGAAAGAGACGAAATCGAATGAAGAGCCATTGACAGGTGCAAAATAGGTGGATATGTAGCTCGTAGTGAACAGGTGTCTCCTACCCCTGACCGGGTACCCTTACAGGGTACCTGAAACAGCGGCTATATCATGAAACCAACTAACCCCCAGTCCCACTGTGGCGAATAAAGCAAAAATTGCCAAAGGCCCCTACTGAAGATTATCTCAAGTGTAGCGAATGTCAAAGGAAGCAGGTAAAGGTAAGAACATTCGAGTCGGGGTTTATCTGACGAACCTGCAACTAATCCTCTTGTACTTTGGCAGTGCGCGAGAGAGGTGAGCTCAGTGACATACCCTGTGGACCAAATTCTCTGGAGTCAGCGGTGTCGGCGTTGGCTTATGAGGTGAGAGTGTGTGTGTGTGTGTGTAATTCCTACATCGGAGGGCCGTGCCTCTGTTTATACCCCTTCCCATTGAAAGGCGTAGCCCAGAGTGCAACCGTTTTTACCCACTCGGCCTTACGATTATATCCGGTATTCGTATTCTATTTAAGGTACGGCAGATAATCGTGGTTTTGTAGAATCACGGCTATATATATTATATTGGGAATTCTAAAGCCTTCATTATAACTAGATATTATTACACTCTACAATATATCTTAAAGCTTTTTCCTCATTTCTCCGAGTCGAGCTCTAGTCTCTCTATTCTATATATTCTTAAATACTTAATACTTTATTATATATCATCACGTAAAAAGAGAGAATAGTGATATTTGTCAAATCGAAGTCGGGAATACTCGAATTAAGTTCTTCTTCGATTCTTATAGAAATATAAGATTTAATTAAGTCTATTCGCACGTCGATAGCTAACTAGAAGATATATAATTATTACTTATTACTTACTAACTCCGCTATTAAGAGGATATTTTTTAAGTATATTAGATTTAACTCTCTTATCTAATCTCTTTTCTATAGAAAATCTTTATATAATTCTTATAAACGAGCCGACTTATTTATAGTCGAAGTCGAATATTTATAATATTTAGAGAAGAGTTATCGATTAGCGAGAAAGGAAGATATTATTTAATCGAGAGAGGTAAGGCTCGCCGTTATATTAATAATATCGAATTCTTCGAGGGGAACGCGTTAACCCTCGATCTAACGCGTCTTATTATTTAATTTTCGCTTATATATAATTAATCGTTATTATAATCGAAGAATTCGATTATATATCTATATATAAATATATACTCCTTTAAGATCTCTTAGCTCCCCTAACGTATTAAACCGTAAGTTTACGCCTATTATAGCTGACGAGTTAAGATCTAATTAACGCGTAGCAGCTGCTAAATAGATATAGAGTAGACTCTCGAAGGCATAGGAATCTTTGTCAGAGGGTTCGTAGCCGGCACCACGTACAGGTGGATCTCGTTGCCAGCCTATGAGGTGAGAGTGAAGCCATTGTTCAGTGGAGACGATTTGATAGCAGACTCTTGGGCTTAAATCACAAGGGTACTGGCGATTCATAAGATTACTCAATAGAGCGTGGAATTGCTGTTGAATGGAGACGGTGTGAAAGCAGGCTCTCGAGATCAAGATCATAAGTCAACGCTGTCATAGACGGCTCAGGAAGGGCGCGTGGAAGTAGTGAAGGTGCTGACAAGCCGAGACGATTTGACAGCAGGCTCTCGAGATCAATGTAGTAAGACACCGCTGTCTTAGACGGCTCAGAAATGGTATGTGATAATAGTGATGCTACTAAAACAGAAGGTAGGAGATGCAAGCTATAAGCCATAAAGCCTAACAGGGGACGCTTTCAATGATGAATTCTCATATTCGACTAATGTAAAAGCGGGACTAAGTCATCTCTTTCAAGACCATCCTTCTCCTAAGAAGCAGCTCTTCTTTGTCAACATGGATTTTCCACTGTCGTATGTCAGTTCCCTGCATACAACATGTCTAAAAAGGTTACCGAAGACAACGGCCCACATCAGATGTAAAGACGCGCATCTCGTTCACCTCACACGAATTGATGATTCCCGTGAGTGCACCAAAGTAAATGCAACCATACAATTCTGTTCTGGCCTGGCATCAGACCATGATTCTCTCGAGCCATGTCAATGCTCAAGAAAACCAGCAAGAAAACGAACTGATTGTTGCCGTACTCGGAATACCTCGTTGTACTTTCGCTCGCTTGGAGGAAACTCCACGATGGACTGTACTACTACAGTCGGTGGTGGTCCATGTCCATATATGCGCTGTTGGAAAGATCCCATGTCCATTTTTGCCATCTAGTATCATCCGGGCCGAGCGATCGATTGTGAGACGGTGTGATGGTTTCTGCTCGATGGGCATAGCTGGCGTGTAAGACCTAAGCTGCCCTTTTAGATCTTTTCATCTTTTGTAAAACAGACCTACGGAAAGGCAAATATTGGGTTCCAACAGTGAGGTCCGAGATGGGCATGAAGCCCCCAAAGAGGAGAAGAGTCATGAGCTACTACCTCAAAAATGGGCTCGGGTGTAGCTTTGACTGCTAGAAGTGACTACGAAGATGGGGTTAGAAGCCTCAAAAGTGGTGAGATTTCTCCAAAAAAAGGGAGTCAAATATGTGATTAACTCTTCAAGTCGACTGCGAAAACAGGCTGGAAGTCTGAAACTCGGAGGGAGATCGATACCTAGTCCTGGGACACGATACTCGAGTTTGGGGAAGCTTCTTGGATCGGACTGCAGATACGGATATATAGCCCTGGAAATGCAAAGGGCTTCTGATCTACTGTTTTGGTCTGGCTTCAGACGTTGAACCTTGAGAATGGCTGTGAAGCTGAGATGTCGATCTCCGGAAGCAAGTGCGAATTTGTGCTTCAAGTCTTGAGATCAAGTGCCTACTTCGGTGCATATCTAAATGCGAAAACAACCATCGGGACGGAGTCCTTGCAGCCAGCCGCGCTCAGCACCACCGCACCTGTATCCTCTATTTCAGAGGCCCCACTATAACCAACTGTCAGCGCTCTATCCAAAGCATACAGTGTGTCTATCGCTTACGACCAACGTTCCTCTCCCCAAAATCCCATTCGTTCCAAACGCCCCTCAAGAACGGACTCCAAGCACCATCCCCTCCCAATCCTCCGGGAAGAATCCGCCCGCCTCCATGAATGTCGTCGCGCACATTTTGCCCACGCGTGGGAAGAAGCCATCCACTTCGAGCGTATACTCGAATGCGGCAGCGCTGATTTTACGGACCCCCAAACCGAACGTGAGAGTCGGCAACTCTTGCCTTCGCTCGCAGGGGACGTTGTGGCACCGGTACGGGCCATGCCGGGCCCCCATCGCTGATGTGAGGTCTCGGGCCAGGTTGGAGCGAAGAGAGCACATTCGGTGTACCCGTATTCGGCTTCTATGGCGGTGCCAGTCCCGTTGCGCCATCATAGCCGGTATTCAGGCAGCCGATACTATAGCACGATGCCGATGTCCATTCTTCGAATAAAGGGTCCTTGACATCCACATCGCCCAAGTGGACGGTGTCTTGCCAGCAGAAGAGGCCGCAGCTCACAGCGCCCCACTTAGCGCCAGCATAACTGCCATTCGGCTCGTACGTGGAAAAACCATGAGATTGATTTCCGTCCTGTTACCGAAGGTCGCAGACGCCATAGTGGCAGGTTGTGGATGGGACGAAGAGGGCATCTGAGGTCGTGTCGACGGCAACTTCGAATTCTTGCGCCGGAGTGCCGATTGTGATGTTAATTTTCGATTTTCTGGATGAGGTTAAACCAGCTCTGTGGATGAACTTTTTCAACACACGAAAAACGGAAAGTAGCAATGAAGGGGGTGCGGGTAAGTAGTTTTATTGCATTTCCAGCATCGGTCTCCTTTGTTGGACTAGCAGGTGGTCCAAATGGCTCCTCCTCTACTTGCACCCTAAAGCTACCGTCCTACATGTCTCTGTCAGCTTCATGTGCGGTTGCATGCATCTCGAGAAAGTCCAATCATCGATCTCGCGCTACGGCTACGGATTGGCAGTTGATATATCCCCGTACAAGCGCTGGCTGCGAAGGTAAGCGTAGTGACGGTTGTGAGGGAGTGCGTATTTGATACGGTTCAGTGTCAATTATCAACAAAGGAACGATACAAGACTGCCTTCAAACATATGAATGCCAACATCGTGGTCAACAGGTAATGTAGGTTTGGACTCTGTCGCAGATACGGGGCTGATTGGAAACCAAGCCTAACGCCCGTTTGGGATAGGTGGTAGGGCACAGCAACAGGAAAAGGCGCGGTAAGCGAGGAGCCGAGATTGAAGAGTCAGCGGATGAGACGACTTCGTACCATTGCTGTCATTGTATAAAGCAGAGAACATCTTTTTATTGGTTGACGAGCTTGAAAAATGTTTTCACTCTGGCTGGGCTGGGCCATGTTGACGTCCATGCCAAGAAAGAAGATCGAGATCCCCATCTTCTATCTTGCGGGCCTCAGCAGCGCAGGCAACGCTTTCATCATCCTTTCACAACCAGCTGTTGCCCTAGACGGCCACTGGTAAAAGGTCTACCTGCGCGCAACTGCTCGGAAATTGATTGCTGTTGGCGAAGAACTTCCAGAACAGCTGCGGGACTCCGTGCCACCAGTCACAAACTGCCAAAGGCTGTCAGTCAGGGTTCTTGAAAAGGCCTTGAACCTGAGCGGTGGAAAGAAAGGCGAGAGGGCAAAAAGAGGGTGCTTACCAAGCCATCCGGAAAACCCGTCCGGATTTTGGTTGTACTGCAAGCCCGTCTCGTTGAAGAAGAAACCCGCAGAGCCATATCCGGCGTTGATGGCGACGAAGTCCCATTCTGATTCAAGGATCGATATTAGCGCATTCGCTTTTTCGATGTATCATCTGAGTTTGGACACTTGCCCGCATAGTAATCATAAAGAACCATCACCATGCCCCAGGGGAAATCCGTGCCGTAGTCGAATTGTTGGTTGGTGCCGTTCAAGAAGCCGACCGATGCGGCGTCGATGGACTCGAGGGTCGCATCGTTTTCTCCGGCACCGGTGTGGTAGCCGCTAACGTAGAGGCCGTTCTTGTCCTCATTGCCATAGCCTTTGACACGTGTTTGGAGATAGTAGCGGCTTGGTGGGGCAATGGTTCCATTGGTAGTCAGGTTGACAGTGGAGGGTGGAGTGATGGTCGCATTGGTCGTTACATTGACTGGGAAGCGTCGTGTAGCGAGGGCGAGAGCAGACGGTAGGGTGAGCAGGAAGGTGAGGGTCTGTAGACCGAGCTTCATTGTGACGGTGCTGAGGGTTGTGAGGTTGTTGAAGTTGGTGAAGAACAGTGAAGATAGTTTGCGGGCGGTGTGGAATTAGTTGGAAACTATGTAGGTAAGTGTTAAGTCGATGGTTCTCTCTCCATAATGCGCTAACAACAAAAAGAAGTGGCATGGCAGGAAGCGGCGTTCTATACATACTATCCAGCTCTTGGCCACGTCATCTCGGTCCACCTTCCTCTTCCTCTTCAACACGTGCACGATTGTTTATATGAAGATAGACAACGCATCATGCATATTCTTGTTCGTAACATGGTCAGCACCAAATATAAGCAGACAATGGTTTGCAGCTCCAGCGTCACCCAGCGAGGTAGGAGCTCGCGTCCAGCTTCCGCATATTCTATTATTAAACGGATAAATGGATAGAGTCTTTTGCGAAACAAGTGACCTTGTGATCAGATGCAGAGGGCCGGTCAATGCCGTATACGAGGTTTCGGATCCGATTACCGGAAGGGGAGGCTCGGTCTCCCGCCACTCTGATAATATACGCGGACGGTCTGCGTCAGCCGACCATAACCACCGCATCCACTGGGAAGCCGAATCAATCCCATTTAACGTCGATTGCATCAAAATGCGCAGCATGCTTCCCAGGTAAGCGAAAGCCGAAGCCAACGCCACGCGCTCGTTGAGCCAGATCCGCGAGGTACACCGTAACGACTTCATAATCCTCAACAGCTTCGACGATTTAGGCAAGCCCCAGCAGTACTTTGTACTTTATCACTCACGACGCCACTTCCTGACGCCAAAGATGACGGCCGCGATGAGACTGAGACTGGGTAAAATCACACCCAGCGAGATTTGAGCAGAGACACTGAGGTTGTTGCCACCACCGTTACTACCGCCACCCTTGCTTGCAGCAGATGTAGATGAGGACCGTGCTGATGACCGTGAAGAGGATGATGTGAGGAGCGGTAGATCGCTGGGACGTGCTGTCGCAGTATCAGTGGAAATGTCTTCTGTTGACGAGGTTGTCAGGGAGGATGATATTGCCGTGGCCACAGAAGAGCTCGAGGACGTTGTTGGGAAATGTTCGGAAGTCGGTGACACAGACGATGAAGAGGTAGACGTCGAAGAGGAAGAAGAAGGTGTAGAGGTTGCGGCGCCAGATGCGCTCTGAGGGCTCGTAGACGGGAAACATGGACAGTCCACGCTGTACGAGCCAATTCTCAAGGGTGTGCAAGTTCCATTTGGTGCAAGTTTCGCGTCTTCAGAGCAGTCAGGATCGGTATAGACCGTTACTGTCAAAACTCATCAGCTTCATGCTTTTGCAGCAGAAGTATGAGCTTATAGAGAACCTGCACAGCATGAGTCTAGATGACTGGGGTCCACACTATTCGCCTCTTGCAATACTGGATGGCATGCGCCGCTGAATGCCTGTTGATCGGTCTGGCCGGTGAAAGTGCTGTCCTGACAAGAACGGTCGCTGAAAAAGGGGACGATGCTTGTCGCGCCGACAAAGATGTTGATGCTAGCGCAACAGGCGAGCAACAACGATATGCAGGACGTGCGGTACTTTCCCATCTTGTTTGGCTCTCATTCTGAAGATGAGAGAGAAAGGGAAAGTTATCTCGGTGAAGCTTGGCCGGCGGTACCGGCGACTAGATGTCCTGCGTCATTCGGGAATATATGCCGCCAAGACTCTGGGCTGCATATAGTGGCTTGATCTAGCGTTGTGGTTCGCGAGTGAGGGTTTGCAGCAGGTTCTGGCCCAGTCATTCCACGTGCCCAATCCGTGATGTGGTTTGCTAATAAACAAGGCTGACTTGCCACGGGGAGCGTGAGAAGCGTAAAGGCGACATTGGCGTAACAGTCTGACAGAGTACCTACGACGATGCTCCGTGCAAGGGAGCTCGTACAGGTTTAGGTCACGGACGGGGAAAGATGATCGATGCGGTCACAGTCAATGTTTCTAGAACCCTTGGAAGTCGTGCTGCTACATTCCATTAAAGGCCCAGATACTACTTGCCCCGTCTAAACCCACCTAGAACATATATCGAAAATCCTTGCTGAAACGGGTACGCAAACAAGTATCGATTTTGCACTGGTACATAAAACGATTTATTGGACCATGAGATAAAGACTTGGTCGTCAAGCAAGGGGGAATATATACGATGTGGTAGAAATTGGGGACAGGCAACCTATCCTTGCTTTTATTTCACTCCAACAGTAATCCCGTTTCAAGACGAAAGCACGGACGAAAGAAATCATGCGCCAACTCTATATCGTACCTGCTTGTCTCGAACGGCTTGAATTCGAATCGACCCGGTGCAAATAAAGCAGCGAGTGCCAGGTACATCTCGCAGTACGCCAAGCAACGGTGCAGGCGGTCGTCAGCGCTCTTCAGGTATTCGGTCTGGGGTTTGGAATGACACACGTACTTTTTGCCCACGCACGGGTGAAACCATCTGCTGAAGGCGATCAGATACCTGTTCAAACTTAGACTAGACGCTTGAAGCCAGCGGTCCGGGTTGAAGGATGAGGGATCAGGGAAGATGGATGGGTTGGTGTGAACTAGGGTTGAGGACATGCTGACTGGAGTCTGGACACTGTATCAATTCCTTTAATTCCTGCAACAAGCCAAATCTTGGCGTACACCCATCGGAGTGCTCCATTGTTTATACTGGACTACTTTTTTTTGAAATTATGCCGATTGTAGGGAAGGGACCATATGGCAACAAGTACATCTACCCGTCATTGACATACCTACTATTATACTTACTCCACACAGTCATTGCAATCATCGTTGAGACTACCATTTTTAGAAGAGCAATGAGATTGCTCTTGAAGCTTAAGTGAACAATGAAAAAGCAAAGCCACAGGTCTCGTGAACAAAGACCGCGTAGTCCGATAGCAACGTGAGGACAATAACACAATGCCATTGTCAAAGAGACACAACACTTAGAAGACCACCTTTAAGTATCCAGTCTCCGTCTCAGGCACCTCACACCCAACACCATTCACCAAGATGGAGACACCAATCATGCAGACAGCAAAAGCTTCGACGGGTATGCAGACCCGAGCAACCGCCCGGCAGGCACTTGCCGACATCACGCCAGCCACGGACTCTGAAGCCATGGATATCTCCCCGGACACCACGTCGGTGAACGGGGCCGAACCCAAGGACCCCCCGCAATCCTGGGACCGCATCTGCGTCTCCAAAGACTGCCCGATCAAGCACCCGCACAACTTCGGCCTTCGACCTCAAACGCTTCCGGCTCCTCTGGCTATCTGGCAGGACGCCGATGCGGTCGTCGCCGACGATTGCGAATATCCGGACACCCGGCCTCCGCCGTTGATCCGGGCCATGATCGACACTCTGCGGAATGACCCCTTGATCGGGACGAGATATCCGGGGTTCACGGATGTCTTGAGAGACTTTTATCGCGCTCACGGCGGGCGTAGTGATAGGTATCATGGGGCTGCGGGCATGTTCGATCTTGGTGTGGATCTTGGTGGTGGTCATGGATATGGCTTCTACCCATATCACGGGCATCCGGATCATGAGGGGATAGAAGGATGGTTTGCGTTTGAGATCGAGAAGGATGCCGAGAACGAAGATCCGGTGGCAAAGGGCTGCCACTAATTGGCATACATTGGTCAGGCAGCGGGCTAGAGCTCGATTTCTTGGTATGTTAGAAAGTCTGCCCCTAGTAATCCATCATGAATAATCGTAAGCGAACTACTCTCTGGCTCTGTTTCGCACTAAGTGTATAAGGTGCCGTGCTTCGTCTCTCTGCACTGCCTGTTACTATATGCCATTTACGTATCGTGGCTTTTCATTATCACGGAGGAAGAATCCAACACCTTGTGTCCTTGCCGTAAAGGCTTCACATCGTATTTTTCTGACTGATTCGTCAATTAGCGAAATTCTGTTTTCTGATGGCTGCCATTGCTCGTAACCATTTGGCCTGCAGTGGCGGAAGGGAAGCATGCGAGACGTCTCGCTGCCTCTCGTAGCAGAACGATAGTATGATAAAATGGGGCCCACGAGTCTCTCGGACTGGAGGGAAACGATGCGCATGGAACGACGACTGGCGCAAAAACCCCTTGATATGATTGGCACGACAATTTCACGACAGCGCCTGTATTGGACGCGATAAGCGGAGAGAAGTGACGCAATTCTCGAGTCACCGCAATCTCCATTCTACTACCCATCGACTCGGCCGTCTCGAGAAAGTGCAGCGAAGGTCGTCCTCTTCCATAAGAATAGCTCTTATCTTGCAAAGCGATCCCCGTTCTCACGGGCGAAAGAAAACTCTGATTAGCATGTTGTCATACAGGTGTCCAAGCACGATCTATGGGTTGTTGATGTTACTCTCCACGTTGGTTTCCCGCGTCACTCCTACACTCGCTGATCTGAGTCCTTCTGCAACAACCAACTCATCAAACCGAATCGTACCCCACTGCTTCACCCCCGACACCAGTGCGGGCATCGGCGAAACCAATCTCAAAGACTGCCGCAATGCCCTCGTCGCTCTTGCCAGTAACCCTGACTTCACAGTCCCGATGAGCTTTAGCAAGAATCACCGACGTGGACACAAAATACCCCGAGGTTGGGTTTCTGGAGATTGCGTCATATTTGTCAGTTGCGCCAACGATAGAGATGCATACACGTTTCGGTTTGCGGATGTTTTGGTGGTAGCGAAGAGGCTTGTTGACACTTGTGTGGGAAGGAATGCGGGGAAGTGGGGGTTCCTGAAATGGGGCGGTGTTGATATTTTGGGAGATTCTGAGACTTTCTATGTTAGTGTTGGGAGGCCACATCCTCGGAGGACTCTGGATGGGAGTGCCACCCCTGTGGAGTTGGGGAATGGAACGTTGTTGGATCTGGCAATTGGAGTCTCCTGATGAAATGTGTGAAGGAAATGACCAAAGAATATGCAGAGTCTTTTGGTGCACATCGGATTTAGAGTGAACGATAACACTCATTCTAATCTTTTGGAAGGTGGAGGGTATGGTAGGTAAACAAAGACTTGAGTCTTGGTGGAATGCCTCAGTCACGACTTTGGTAGCTGGTAATGAGCTGGTAGATTGGGACTGGTTACTTGCAAGGCACATTCTGCACGGCTTGTTTCGCAAATGGCGTGGTCTTTCGGAAAGGACCCATAATCTTTACACAAAACTTGCAACACTGTTCCAGCTGGCAAGAGTTGTCACTGCGCGAATACAGGCCGCCGTTGTCTTCAAGTCAAAGGTATTAATATTGGGGGCCGCGGAGAGTGCCATCCTTGTCACAAGAGTATAATAGCCTGTAGCTCAACCCGCGCTTTGCAAAGTGTCTTTTTTAATATCGGAGATGTGCTCTATGGATTTGGTATCCCGGCACCGCTGCCAGTAGATTCGTATTTATTTGTTGAACTATGAAACCAGATGCTGGACTTCCCCAGCCGTGATTGAGATTTGTATGTTTGCTCTTTAAGGCTCGGCATACTCTAGGTGGCGTATGACGATACCAATTAGATCTCCGTATTATGGGGTATGGTTAATTTTGATTGAACAATAAAGATTTAAAAGGCGCGATGGACGCTTCGTGAAGGTGATTATGAAGTCTAGCACTAACGCTCATTCCATTCCTCAAGCGAATGGCAGTAAATGGCGCCTAAGATGATATCGGCCTGGACTATGAAGACTTCCTCATCACGCAGTGGGAAGTAAATGTCGCTGAGTAGAAGGGCGAGAGTGCTGAGATGGAGAAAATCGCATAATTGATGATGAGAAATAAGGTGGATAGAAGGAAATTCGAGTATATCCCTTTCCTTATACTCGGGATGGACACGCTAGTAGGGGGGATCAAAGTAGTTCCGGCCGTCTTGATATTATTTCTCGCCACCTTACGCGAAGAAGATCTACGCCCCTAAATTAGAAGAGTAGCTATCTATATATCAATTACCCTCTATATATATAAAAATATATTAAAATCGAGTCGAAGAAGTAGACTATATCGCTTACATCGATTACGTTATTAACTTATTTCTCGCTATATTAAAATTTTATTAAATTCGAGCTCTCTTATCTATTAAAGCTACTTATAATCGTATGAAAATACGCTATACTTAGTATAGGCTACTCTAACGCTAAGGCTACCTTAATATTAATTTTCTTAATTTCTTAACTTATTTATTCTCTATCTATCTACTATAATCATAACGATATCTAACTTATATATCGTTATTTAAGAACGTATTTAATAGATCTTAGTCTCTATTATCCTCGAAATAAAGCTTAAAGTTACTCGATTAATTACTTAATTTAATATACTCTATAATTAGCTTCTATATCGCTATAATAAAATCTCTCTTAAAGATAATTACTCTTACGCGTCTATAGATTCTAAAAAATAAATTCTTTATTAATATATATAACGGCTCGATAGATCGAGAATATCTTATTATCGTTCGATGTTTATAAAAATTACAATTTTTTTTAGATCTACTCGTTAAGCGAGAATTAGATATTATTTAACGAGCTATAATAGCTCGAATAACTCGAAAAGTAAAACTAATACGATGATTTAAAAGAGAGATATTATTATTCTTATTAGACTCGATCTTAGATTATTATACGTAAGAAAATAAAAATTAAAAGAACTTTAAGAGCTTTAAAGTAGATAAATATTAAAGAGTCTCGAGTATATAATATATTTAGAAATAAGAATATTAAGTAATTTAAGATTACTATATAAAGAATTAGAAAGTTAATTAAGATTAAAGTAATTAAAAAGATTAAAATAGACTATAGTAGCTTTAAATAAATTATATATAAGTAAGTAGATAGAATAATTAAGAAAATTAATATTAAGATAGTCTTAGCGTTAAAGTAGTCTATATTAAATATAGCGTATTCTTATACGATTAACTCTTTTATTTAAAGTCGTATAATCGATTTATCTTTAGCGTTATTAATAGTATATAAGAAGTATAATAGTAATATTATATATACTTTCTTAAGACTAGATAAAATTATATATAAAGAAAGTTAAACCTCTAAAGTATTAGTTAATTACGAATCTCTAAGAGTCGAATTTACTTATTCTATCGAATAAGAGTCTAAAAGAGAAATTATTATATTATTAAATACGTTTAAATTTAATAGTAGAATATTGAAGTTAACGCGATAATCTTCTAAAAGAATTAGAAGACTAAATACTTGAAAATCTAAGAAAGGACTTATTAGAGATAAGCTATAGAAGTATATCCCCTTTATATTAATATCGTCGCTATTAAGAAGTTCGATACTTTTTATAATAACTCGAAATATATAATTAATATCGCCTATAATAGAGCTAATATCGAGTTCTAGAAGCTTTAATTCGATATTTATTATATTAATAGAGAAGAGAAACGAGTTAAAGAAGACTTAAGTATATTAAAGAAGAATTCTACTATAAGAAAGACTTAAAAAGATAATATATACTAGGGCGCGGGCTACTTAGTAGTGAAAAGCTAGTTAAGTATCGTAGAAATACTAAGAATATCGCTATAATTAAATATATTTACGATACTATATTTAATTAATTCTCTGAATTCTTCTTATAACGATATCTAAGAAATAGATTACATCGTCGATTAATCTTAGAATATATAAGATTCTCTATAGCTTTATAATCACTGTATCGAATTATAGTAGATATTATCGAGTAGATATATGTGTTACGATTAAATGTTAATCGTTCTAAGAAGGTTAAGCGAGACTCGTTCTACACCTAAGAGTATATATTCTCGAGAGCGTTAAGTAACTGCTTATAACGTATCCCGTCGTCGTTATCGTCCTCGTTCTCGTTATCCTCATCCTCGTTATTCTTATTCTCGTTATTCTCATCTTTACTCGTAGTAACGATATCGATAATATCGTTATATAGCTTCAGAATAGTATTATATTCGTAGAGAATCCGAGTATCTTTCAGCTATTCTACCATACCCCGAAGCTCTTTATCTCGCTCTACTTATTAAATATAAATAGAATTCTCGTAATTTTTTCAAGTGAGAAGACTGTAATCTCGATGTAAATTTTATACGTTAAAGGTTAAACGTTATGTAGAATCTTAACAGCGAAATTTAAGATTACCGTATCGATGAGAAGAATCGAGAAGAAGTCTAGTAGATAATTTATTAAAGCCTTCGAATATATATTAAAAAGATCTATAAGATATTGTAGACTAAACTTAATAGCGTATTATAATATTATAGAGTATAGAATCTCGACGTTACTATAGATTTTATTAATTTCTCTAAAATTATAGCTAATTTTAAAAGCGTAATTGCGAGAGAATATACTTATTTTTCTATTATTAACGCTTTTTTTAATAACGATTCGTAGTACGTATAATAATAGAAGAAGAGATACTATAATCGAAAAGAGTTAACTAAGATATAATTTATAGAGATAGAATTCTTTTAAAGAAGAAATAAAGAGAGACGGAGATAAAGTTAAGATTATTAATAAAATTTAATATTCGTAATTAAGAAATTTAGTTACTTCCCGAATAGATATCTAACTTTCTCGATTTAGATCTTAATAATACTTTTTAAAACTTGTCGACAGGAAGAAAGCTAGCTTTTCAATTATAATTAAAGTAAAGAAGAAGACTATAAAATAGAAGATTAAGATTAATACTATAGTTATTATTTCTATTAATTAGATCGTTAAAGTAATTTCTAGCGATATCGTAAAGAAGACTTTAAACGCTATTATAAATATTATTACTTTTATATAATTAATTAAATATAGTAGTAAGAATAAGAATAGTAAAAAGATTATTAAGATTAAGAGGAAAGCGATTTTAATAAAAGAAAGAAAGCTTAAAAAATAGTAAGCAAGGATCGAGAAATCGCGATTCGATGCTATTAAAGAAAATAACGCTATTATTACTACTATAGCTAAATTCTCTATAATTATATTTAATGCTTTTTAGAAAGAATTAAAGTATACTTCGAAGTCTTAAATTTCAGCGAACCTAGATTAAGATAGCCTATTTATCTTATTCTCGCTATTCTTTACTAAAGAGATATTTAAGACTATTACGCGAAGTACTAATATATATATATTATAATAGCTTACTATATCTCGAGAATAAGACTCTATTAAATCGAGAGTTTCTAATAAGAATTTTAATTAGCGTTCTTAATAGGCTATTAATATAAATGAAATTAAGATATTTATAGATAGTTTAATCTATATAAACGTTTATTGTTAAGGAATCATTATGGTTTGACTCATATATGTGTGTGGTGTAAAAGATGTTGATTAATCTATGTGGTCTGCAGGCAGATATGTGCGGTGCCAAGCCTACGCTAGTGGCCCTATGAGTGTCCCTGAGGCATCTCATGACAATTGCCCACAAAAAACAGAGAAATGCCATGTCCTCATGGCAAGAAGTATGCATGCATGGTTCTTTTCGAAAAACCGGAAAGAAATGGAGACACCGTGCTAATTAGTGGTGTGATTCCCCCGAGATCTTCTGTCGCAGTGAAACCCTTCGAATAGTACCGGAGCACGACATCAGACGGTTTTAATTCGTCCAAATATGCATCGTCCGATGTCCTCCTGCAGTGGCCCAATTGGCTGTGATCGTCGCAGTAGATCCTTCTCTTGTTTCGTCATTGCAGTGATGTACCATATCAATGCAGTGGGGATGATAGGCCAAGTTGCAGTGGTGTTCTCCGCTTGCTGAGTGATGACTTGACGTGGGATCGTAGAGAGCTGAGCCGTGTTCTTGGTGCTGATGGCCTTGCTGCCGCTTGCTTTCTCCGCCGTGTTCTCCGCATTTGCCTGTTGTAGTTCCTCCTCTTGCTCAACTGAGTGCTCTGGCTGAGTGGCTAATTGAGTGGATTGGTGAGCTGGCTGAGTGATTGGCTGAGTGGCTGGCTGGATAGCTGGCTGGACGGCTTGTAGAGACCTCTTATATTGCTGGCGAGTCTTTTGATTCCGGTGCTTCTTCTTCTGCTGTATTGCACGTACGAATGGACACTCCGGTGATCGAGTAGCGTGGAAATCGAATGGACTACCGTCACTGTCCCAGTCACAGGGATCAAGACCGCATAGTGAGCATACAGTGAGATCCGGAGATGGAAAAGTAGGGTCGTATTCTCGATGAAAGCCAGCACGGGCTACGGTAGAGGCACTTGGACATACGTGTGGCTATGACGTGAATGAGGCGAGTCTTTTAGCGTATGAATTCATGATATCGATAGGCCTAGCGAAAGGATCGATGTGGACGGTGTTTTGGTCAAATGGTACTCGATGACAGCGAGTGTGTTAGAGGTCCGGCTTGGAGCGTTGCACTATTAGGTGTTGATGCAGACTTTACGTAAACGTCTGATGACGCCTGGATATCCTATGAAGTAGGGCCAGGTGTTGCTACCAATTGTTAAGGAATCATTATGGTTTGACTCATATATGTGTGTGGTGTAAAAGATGTTGATTAATCTATGTGGTCTGCAGGCAGATATGTGCGGTGCCAAGCCTACGCTAGTGGCCCTATGAGTATCCCTGAGGCATCTCATGACATTTATTAAGAAGATAAGATAGTAAGCTATTAAAATAAGAAGCTATTTTATAATACGTATTATCTTATTATAAGTAAGTTATTATTATACTAATCGATTTATTAAGTCTTATATATATATCGTAGTTATTTATAATTTAGAATAGATTTACTTAATTATAGCGATTTTTCTATATTAGCCTTTTAAGTAATAATATATTTATAAAGTTTATAAAAGAAGATGTAAAAGTAATAATCGAGGAGGAATTAAAGTTTTAGAGGCTTTAATAATAATATAAAATAAAGCCTCTATTAACTTCTTTTAGAAATTATTATTAGAGGTACTAAGGTTTAATAGTAATATCGCTATCGATAAGATAATAATTCGATTTTTTAGATAATTAAAGTATATCGTCGATATAAGAAATAAGTCTATTAAACGAGAGTATAAGTTCTAGATCTTCTATAAGGCTAAATATCTATATAACTTTATATATTACTCGCGTACTTTAAAGATCGACGAGTTAAAATTATATAAAACGCTAATAGCTATCGAATCTATAGTATATTAGCTTACGCTTATACTACCTTCTCTTTCTTCTAATAAGATATATACTCTTTATCTCGATAACCTCTTTATATTAATCCCGTTATTTTATAAGCTACGAATTATAGATATTAGAGTATATAAAACTACTCGTATAAATAATAGCGTTGATTTCCTAGTAGTTCTATAGATTATAAGGGAAAAATGAGATTATAAGCTATTCTAAGATACGCTTATAGCTATTTTAATAGGCGACGTATTATATCTAAGCTAAATTGATAATAATACGATATTCTCGCTATCTACGATATATATCGTAGATAAAACGAGTAATATTATTAAGAAGTAGCGAAAAAGATTAGATTTTATCTTTATTAATACGAAGACTATAAAAGAGCTATTTAATAAATAGTCTAGAGCGATATTTAAGATTTTATATTATATTAATAATTATAACTATAATATAGACTCGATAAATATTATTAATTAATATCGCTAGGCGTATAAGATTTAGAGAAAGACTATAAGAAACTAATAGTCGATCTTCTTTTAGATATTAAATTATAGTATTATTAACGACTTTAAGATTAAAAGTTATACGAGCTATTATTAAAAGAAGAGATAATATAGAAATTTCAGAATTCGACTATATAAGGAATTATTCTTATTTAAAGAAGAGGTTAAAGTTAATAAGTATATTACTTATCTAGATAATAAACGATTTAATTAAATTATTAAATATATTAAAGTCGAGCTATATAGTAATTCTATAAGAGTTATAAAGAAGTATATAATATATACTTAATATAAGTATTAGAATATTATTATCGAGTCTAGATTACGTATATTAAGTCTAAAGAAGCGTGCTTTTAATACTCTATTAAATTCTAATATCTCTATAAAGAAGAAATAGCTTTATCGTATATTATATAGCTACTTTAATTATTAGATCGCTTTATATATAATAGAAGATAAGAATTATTAAAAGCGATAATATAGATAAGTATAGCTTTAAAGTAAGCTTAGAGTTATAGTAAGTATATATAATTATATAGAAGTATATATAAAATTAATATATAATTTAATTATTCTTCGAATATAGCTGTTTTTAAGCTCATTTAATAGCTATATAATCGTACTTCTTTTATTATTCTTCTTTTATATATTAACTATCTATCGTCTATTAAGCTATCTTCTTATCTTTATCTCCTTTCTATTAGTTATCGACTATCTCTACTATCTTTCTCTTTCTATATAATATTATTTAGAGTTATTATAGATAGTATAAGCTAATAAAAAGTAATTCTAAAGTTATATCATAATTATAAACCTTTTATCTTATCGTATTCTATTATTTTACTATTATATCTTATTATCTTATTATCTTCTACTAAGTTAATCTCGTATATTAAGATTTAAGATCTAGTAATAAGTTATAAAATAAGATATTTCTAATACGATTTAGCTCTTTAATTATATAATATTTAGAGAGTATAGTTATAGTATATTATTTATCTATATATTCGATCTTTTTAAGAATTTTTTTTAATAATCTAATATCTAGAGGTTCTACTTAATTTTCGATAATTTTTAATAAGAAATATATTTATTATAGATCGTATTTAAGCTAACATTATCGATTTCTAAAAATAATTTTTTTCTTTTAAATTATTACGGCTACTCTACTTAGAGCGTAATATTACTTAGTAAGAATTATATTAAATAATAATAAAATCTACGCTAGACGTTAAATTTGATTAATTAATAGCTCTATTTAAAGAACTCTACTAGCGTATTTATTTCGAGTATAAGAAAAGAAATACTCGTGCTATTTAGAAGTAAGTTATCTAATAGAGCGAGAACGCTAATATAATTTTCCCCTTAGCCGAATATCGCTTAATCTATTAATGTCCTCGCTCTATTAGATAACTTACTTCTAGATAATACGAGTAAAATTACGTTATAATACAACATCTACAAATTTAAAAAGTTTCTATAAAATTTGAAATTGCTAATCGCGCGTGTATCGCGGAAATTATAAAATCCGTCGAATTAGTAAATCTAATTAGAATCTATTTAAATTCCGCCGGTTTAGTAACTATTTTAATCTTTTTCGCTAGTTCTATTAATTTAATAGTAATATATATAAAAAAAGAAAAGTTCTAATAATCGATATTACGATAATAAAATTTTACGATAATAAGTATTAACGCTAACTTAAATTTAGCTACGAAATTAGATAATTTAATAAAATTAATCGCGTAAGTAATACTCTAATATAGCGTATAATAATGCGTATATTAATAATAATATATATTGATATTATATGTATATAGAATAGTACTTAAAGTATATTAGAGTATATTACGTAAAAATTTTAAAGTTACTAAAAATTTTTTAAAGTTACTAAATTAATAGAACTAGCGAAAAGAGTTAAATATAGATAAAGTCTACTTAATAGACTAAATCGTACTAAATCGTACTTATAATACGAACTCGACGGAAATCGTATGGAAATTTACTTTTTAGATTTATAGATGAAATAACACTTCGAAATATAATTCTCGAGAGTATATATGAGTATTATTTATTATATTAAAAATCTAAAAATCGGAATTATAGAGGGTAGAAATAGATTTCTAGAACTCTAATAATCTTTAAGTTTATATAGTAAACTATAGAGTACGAAGCGTATTATAGAGCGCGTTTAAATTTATTAGCATAAACTTCGAATTTTAAAATTTTATAGAATTATAGAGATTATATCTTATACTCTTTGATACTTTTCTTTTCAGATATTTCTACGTAAGTAGTAGAAGGATAGATTATAAAGGTAAAATAAGACTGTTTATCCTAGGGAGTTACATTTCGGATCAAAAACTTGTAGTGGGTAAATCTCGGATATGCGCAGTGGCATCACTACAACCAAAGTCCGTTGAATTACAATGCAAGCCTGAAGTTCTCATCAGTCAGAGCTGACAGTATCCAAGAATACACCCAGAGACCGATAGGTTGAAGTAATCCAAAAAGCTACGAGGGGTTCGTGACTGCCACTCCGTTTCCACCGTCGCACCGTCGTATGTCTTCTTTAACTTTTCCTGTCAGATTTCAAGCACCGAGAGTGACTGCGAGGACAGGTTACTGAAGACCGGTTCTCTAGAGCCAGATGGCAGCTTCTGATAAAAACATGCAAGGCTCTGCTCAAGCCAACGACCAGCTAATCATCTCCGATGACCCTTACCATCCCGCCAACCACATCTGCACCCTCTGCCGCAGCTTCTACAACCTGGGTTGGGTCACCGGCACCGGAGGCGGCACATCGATCCGCAAGGGTCCGCACATCTTCATTGCGCCGTCTGGGGTGCAGAAAGAATTGATGCAGCCGGAGAATATCTTCGTCCTGGACTATGCTACGACATCGTACCTGCGGAAACCTCCGGTGCTGAAGCCGTCTGCGTGTACGCCGCTGTTCATGGCTGCGTTTGACATGGGCGCGGGATGTTGTATCCAGTCAGTGAAGTAACGTCCTTGACTGCCCGGTTCAGAGTCCTAACCACGGCTGTAGTACACACTCACAGTGGGCAGTCCTGGTGACTCTCCTCGTGGAGCGGGATGCGGCTCAGAAGGGCGAGAAGCTCGAAGACACATGCTTCGAGATCGAGAAGATCGAACAGATCAAAGGTATCCCGCAAGGAAGACGTAAACAGGGGATGCTTGGTTTCTTCGACAAGCTCAGAGTGCCAATCATTGAGAACACTGCGCACGAGGAGGACTTGACTTCGAGTCTGGAAGCGGCGATGGATAGGTACCCTGATACGTACGCGGTCCTGGTGAGGAGGCACGGCGTTTATGTTTGGGGTGACGACGTGCAGAAGGCTAAGACGCAGGCGGAGAGGTAAAGCAAACACGCTTGAAAGTCTGAAAGCGTGTGCTAATGCTTGGCAGCTTGGACTATCTCTTCAGGTTGGCAGTAGAGATGAGGACGCTTGGACTGCCGTGGACGACAAGTTGAGCTTGGTTGCTGCGATATGTCTAAAATATCATGTATGCAGCCAGCAGTATTGCCACAGCATAAAGTGAGACATCTCGAAAGCTAGATACGATCTTACTCAGAATACTACCCGGGTACCAGTCCGGATCGTTGTCCCAATAGTAGGCAATTATCTGAAATATGCTGAAAGTCATTCCCCACACTCCGCCGCGACGGTCCAATCCTTGCTCCTTTGTATCTTCAATGCTGGCTTTTTCTTGCTTGTATGTCTCGCATCTCTGACTGAACCTTTTGATCCACTCATAAGTGAATCGGCATGAGAGCTTTAGAAACGGGCCGTACATCCAGAGTAGCACTGCGACGACCATGTACAATGCCAACATAAAGAACATATACCCGAGCTGAAGAACCCCTTCACTACGAATAGAACGGCAGTCCTGAACATTCGGAGACGTTTGGCAGATTCCCTTCATTTTGCATGGTGATGTGGGCCATCGACTTCGATGTCTTCCTTGATCAGTGTGGGTTGTTGACGGGATTTCTTGACCTGCGTTTCGTGGAACTGGTGGTAGTGGTGTGTCCGGTATCGCCTCAAATTCCCGAGCTCTGACATATTCATACGTTGTCGGTAGAGCTTTGGTTCTGACATTCCGTCGTAGATCGTTGCTGGCGTTCATTGGCGGAGATGATACCTGCGCTCCTCGAAAGCCAAATATGGCAAGATTTGGGGTAGACGAAGGTGGTGCCATTGCGGGGGGCTACAGTGGTAAATCCTGTGAGGGCTCGGCGGCTGGAACCAGGACTGGAAGGATATCGTGCGGCCAGACGCCAGGAGACGAGGTAAAGCGTGGAGACCCCAGGAAGGCATCGTGGCTAGTTTTGTAGCCAAACAGTGCGAATGTAACAAAGACGTCATATTTTGGAAGAGGGGGCTTGCAATGACAATGACTAGTCGGGTGACGAAGATTCTGGTACTGGGCGTGTGTCTAAAAAAGAGAGGTTTAAAATTGAGAAGAGATCTACCTGGAGATTTTACCGAGCTCTTATGCAAGGGCAGCATTTCTGAGACATAAGTAAATCATGCAGCCTCGAATCCAGATGTAGAACATCACCAGGAAAGTATCCATGAGAGCGAAAACAACCACAGATTGTATATCGTAAACCGGCGAAATCCGTGAGATACAGAATACGGGACGCAGGAAAATCAACACCTATCGAGTCGGCCTCTCAACCCTCCCTTGCTTTTTTCTCCTTGAGGATGCTTCTAATACCCCGCTTGTTCACTGTCGGATTCCTAGTTGCGCATAAGGTTTGAGCTGGCGACAGATGTAATTCCAGAACCATCACTAGATGCTCCTTTCCTCTGAGGTAGCTGTGGACTCGGATGATGTCTCGTTCTTATTACGATAGGCATAGTCGCTTGGCTTGGACCAGCTGAGCCATTTTGCGGGAAGCCCTCTTGGCTAAGGCCGAGTTGTCCGTTTTCGACTCATGGGGTATCCGTAACCATGCCAGATGGCGAAAATTGTTCTGGCATTCTGCTGGTGACATGTCACTTGCAACCTCAAGGTCTTTGGCCGGCTGAAACTGAATTTTGTCTGCCAAGAGCGATAAGATAGTTATGATAAGGTCCGATTCGTGTTCCAGAGGTTTCCTATTCTCGTCTGCCACGCCCTGATCTTTCAGACCAACGCCATCTCACGCTGTTTCAGGGGCTGCCACTCTTGAACTCCTAGCCCCTCCGACCTCTCCGCAAGCTTAATCCTTGTAGAGCCTAAGTCCTAGGCGGAAGCGTTCGAGTGATGACACTTGTTGGCTGAAGTGCCTCGCCGGGATCCCTGGCATTTTCTTCCAACCTGTAGTGCTCGCATGAACACTTCCAGCTATTTGAGTATTCAAGATCCCAGAGGAACAGTGAAAAGACCATCCAGCACCTTTTCTCGTTACCATGCGGCGCCTTTTCCTTCCCTGGGCCCATAATCATGGTTCATAAGAAGCTTGGTACCGCAAAGTACAGAAACCTAGACGAAGCCTTGACTACAATCAGATTTACATCGTTGTCCACTACCTGCCGTCAAAATTCCTTCACGCATTTCCGGATAATTCACGACCCCTAACGCTCTCTTCCTCCAATTAAGATGTCGACACCAGCTTCCGAAGCGTAGGCCGAATTTGAACGGATCGGCCGCGACGTAAATTTTCCCCTTCGTCGGCCTCGGAACTGGAAGCGCATGTTCATGCGTTTCTCTAAGCAAAATCGGAAAAGACTATTGCAGGATCTGGCAGTAGTTGCAAAGAAACCGTATGAGAAATCATTCCACCAGGACGATTATGATCCTCACTCTCTACCGCCATACCCGTTACTAGCGACAGCGAGGGAAGACAGCTCTTGAATGGAGGACAGTGGCCATACAGATATCAGGCACAGAGAGAGAGGAGCCAATTTGAGAGAGCGTTTTAGGTAAGTAGGTGGATCTGGACGTGCTTATGAACGAGACTGATGGAACTACAGTGCAACCATAGACTTGGAAGCTGGCACGATAAGCTGCGAGGATGTGGAGACGTTGATGGGTAATGGAAAAAATAGCACTCTCGAGATAGGGTAAATGCTTCTTCGTGTTCATAGCGATTGGGAGGGGTGGATGCACGGACAAATGCATCTATTGTGGGGGGTAAAGAGGATACAATAATAACGAGATATAGGAGAGAAGTCAGGAGAAACGAAGGCAAAAAAACAATTACCTCTTCTCCCCAGTAAGGAACTCATGAACTGTAGAACCTTTCACAGAAGGCTGGCCGACTGGCTCGGTTGGCGTCCGATACAAAAGTTTTAAGCGTCATGTGCCTATCAAATTGTGTCGTAGAATCTAGGTGTCCTTGCCGCCATCTTCTCGACTCAACGCCCTTGTCATCCTTCTCTTCAAACAACTTCGCATAGCTCAGTGCGCTTCAAAGACTTTACAGAAACGTCGCCTCCGTGCCGTCTTCCAGCCATGTCGGGCCTCAGTTTAGCTAATCCCCAGATGTACGTTCTGGTTGCCTCGTCCTTGCGCAATGATCGCACGAGCTGTAGCTGCGATCTTGCCTGCACCGTGCTGACCCCAATCTCTCTTTAGCACTAATCTGCTCATCATACTCGGTATGATGCAGGTATCTAAGAAGATACCCTTCGAAGACCCTCAAGTCCTTATGGGCGTCCGCGTCCTATACGTCGTCTCCAATCTTATCATCTTGGGCATCTACTTCTACATGCAGATGAAGATCAACAAGAAGAAGGGTTAGTCTGGTTTCATTTGTGCGGCATGTGGAGTGCCCGCTGACATGCTGTGTTGCAAGACCTCACTACCCTCAAATACGTCGAACCACCACCAATGGGCTCAGCCGAAGAGCCCAAACTCATCACTACGACTGTCCACTCGTACGACTTACAGCAGCTTAAGGGGATGTACAAATCGCAGTTGATGGGGGTAGGAATGATGGGCGTCATGCATCTGTACATGAAGTACACGAACCCGCTCCTGATCCAGTCGATCATCCCGCTCAAGGGCGCATTTGAAGGGAATTTGATGAAGATACATCTGTTTGGGCAACCGGCTGTCGGGGACTTGAAGAGACCGTGGAAGAGCGCAGGTGGCATGATGGGTATGGGTGGGGGAGGGGACCTCAAGGCGGATAAGAAAAGTATTGAGCAGGCGGAGAGAGCTGGAAGTGGGGGTGTCAAGGAAGAGTAGGCTCGGACATTCTTGAGAGACGTTGCTCTGCGGACATCACATCTCCCGTACTTGCTGTGTAAGACAAAACCGACCATAGAAAACTCGTTAGTTCACCACTCGCAACCAAATGCGGAAGCTCTGAAAGACGGAGATACAGATTGTTGAATAGCTCAATATCATACTTTTGTAGGCTGCCCTCCCCACGTAACGCCACTATGCATTCTTTCACTTTCATTCAACGCCTCAATTCTCAAAACTCACATCTTCGAACTGTACCGAAGTCTACGACAGCAGTACACCATACCATGCCATCCGAGCCATCTCCTATCAACCTCGCGCCAGAATGACCGAACGACCTTCAACGCCCCCTCCGCAAACGGCGCCCTCCAACCCCGGCGTCCTCCCAAGAGCGCCCCTCACACCAGAGCAAGTCAAGAATATAGTATGCCCTATACTTTCGCCACCTATCCTACCCAGCCTGCTGACCGGCCAACTCAGGAAATCAACCGCCTAAAAGCCAAAGCCCTCCGCACCCAACGCGAATCCGAAGCCCGCAACAACAGCGACGCCCCCGCCTCCCTCAAACGCTCCTCCAGCAACCTCACCTCCAGCAACCTCGCCGCCGGCCAAAAACGCCCCTACTCCTCCACCACCGCCGGCGTCACTTCCACCCTACGAGATGCTCGAAGTACCACACCGGCCGCGAAGCCCGGCGGCTTTCGCCCCCTGGACGAGATCCAGCCGGCGAGGAACTTTACAAAGTTCGTCGAGTATGACTTCAGTAAGATGACGGATACGAAAGGGGGCTTCTTGACGGTGGAAGATGACCCGCACAACAAAGCGTTGCACGCGTTGAAAGCGGGCGAGAAGCCGGCGCACATGACGATGAAGGAGTGGGAGCGCCACCAACTTCTGCGGTCGCTCCGGGAGCAGAAAGCCGGGCCGTTCGAGCCGGGTTTGAGCGTGCTGTCGAAGGGGGCGCGGGAGGGGAGCGACAAAAAATGCAGGGAGTGCGGGAGCTTGGAGATCGATTGGAAGTGGGAAGAGGTGCTGCACTGCGCCGTGTGCAACGCGTGCAAGGAGAAGTTGCCGGAGAAATACAGCTTGCTGACGAAGACGGAGGCGAGGGAGGATTATCTGTTGACGGATCCGGAACTGAAGGATGAGGAGTTGCTGCCTCATCTCGAGCGTCCGAATCCGCATAAGAGTACGTGGAATAATATGATGCTCTATCTGCGCTATCAGGTTGAGGAGTACGCTTTCAGCGATAGGAAGTGGGGTGGTGGGGACAAGTTGGATGATGAGTTTGAGAAGAGGGAGGGGGAGAAGAAGAGGAGGAAGGAGGGGAAGTTCAGGGCCAAGTTGCAGGAGTTGAAGAAGAAGACGAGGGTGGAGGCTTATAGGCGGGGGAGGAGGGGTGATGGCGGAGGGGAGTTTGGGGACGAGGTGGGGAGGGGTGGGAAACATACGCATGTCTGGGGGAGGCCGGTCGAGGGGGATGAAGGGGTCGGAACGAAGACGTGCGTGGAGTGTGGGATGGAGGTTGAGGAATTGGAATTCTAGTGGGGGAGGCGGGCTCGATAGAGCGCGAGAAACTACAATGTATAAATGTACCTAGTCAGACGACATGACTAGCACTCTAGAGCACTAGAGACAGCTCTCTAGTCATGATCCCGCATACCATAATACCCATACGCTACAACCACGTCGAAATCCTGCACGTCGAAATAAGATGCTCGAAAATTGGCGCCATAATATTGCACGCATACCCAGCTTGAGTTCGAGCAGAGATAGTGCAGATCGAATGAAGCGTACACATTAGGATCGAACCCTTCGGATCCAAGGGCGCAGATGGTGGCGGCATCACATGCGTTGAGTGTGCCGGGGTATGTTCTGTAGTGCTCCAGGTTAGCGAGTACTACTTCGAAATACGTAGACGAATAGGGGCCACCCTGCACGTACGAGTAGATGGGCGGGTAAAGAGGATCGACATTGCCAGGATTGTTTGTGTTTTCGATGTAGCATTGGCCGGAGTGATACTGCTCGTAACCGTTGAACTTCGTACAAGCAGCCGTTGGAGTGGGATAGGAGCATGTGGCGCAGGTGCTGTAAGACGTAGTGTGAGAAGCGGTGCTTGTTGGCGGGTTTGAGCTTGACGGGGATGTTTCCGATGCGGAGGGGCTTGAACCTGAGCTTAAGATCCTAGTGCTGGAGCTTTTTCCCGTACTCGGGGATGTAGACCTTTTTCTGGATGTTGATATTGTACTGTAGGTATGGGTTTGACTTGTCGTGCTGGAGCTCAATAGGCTGCTGCTCGTTGGAAGCTCCGCGCTGGATGTCGATGTCGACAAAGATCTGCTTGACAGTATTGATGGCGAGCCACCGGGCAAGGAATTAGACAGAGAATTGACCGAAAAGCTTGATGACGTGGGAACGTCTGTTGTAGTCGATGAACTTGTAACGACACCGGGAGACTCCGACTGAACAGACGATACTGAGCCCGCGGATCCTATCTTAGAGCTTGCAGACGAAGTATTAGGTGGGGGATTCGTGGCTATTGAAATCACGGTTGATTCTGATTTGTGGCAATCTCCGATACAACAGCTGAATCCGATGAGTGCCTAGCTTATTTAGTCGGCTCTGAAGGGGAGGCATACCAGACAGTCTGTGCGAACGTGGGGTCAGCAGCTTGTAGGTAAGAGAGCAATATGCATCGATCGCTTCCGCTGGCACACGTGGGATCGCCGACTTGTATCGGACTTTCAGAAGAGAGATTGGAACAGTATGCCTGAGCAGGAGGAAAGGCACTGAGTTGGAGATATGGCTCATATGCTGCCGTTGAGCATATGGCAGGTGTACCATCAAAATCCATGGTTGGCTGTGGGGAGAGAGTAAGAAGCACAGAACACCTCTAGGCTTGCAAGTACGTTGTAGCCTCTGCAATGAGAATTGAGAAGATATGAGAAAAGAAGGGAGTACTACTTAGGCGTCGAGAGATGTATTAGAGGTCTAACCATGGTCGAGATTCTCATGACCTATCCGAGGTATTTTATTGAAGTCGCAGTTGGAAGCATTCCCAACAATGGGTTTCAGTAACGAGCCACGCCATCCGCTAAACAATCAAGCTGCGTGCTTGTGTACTCTCGAAAAGTAGGGTAGCTGAGCTTGAATAAAGCCCCCAAGGCCCCAAGAATAGACCCCGGTCCTACGGGTCGGGGCGTGCTCTCTAGTGACCGAGCTCAAACCCTGGAAGGGAAGAACGAACGTCACTCGTCCCATTAGATGGCCCATTCCTCAACGTTGGCCGTTTTAGAGAAGGCACGAGCCTCCCAATTCCAGAGGACTTAAATTCCACACAAAATCGTATCACCAACCCACCTATTAGCCAGTTTTGACCCTCACGGCAGCCTGAGATCTCGAGCGATATAGCGGAAAGAGTCCTTAACCAGAATTCAGGAACAATGCTCTGGGTCAAGGCTCAAGTCAAGAGGCTCCTCCAATTCCATCCATACAGTTCTCAAGGTTATTAAGATGCGCGGGACATTGCCAGGCCCATGGCGGGTGCAATGAGATGGGGAGGACCAGAACTCGGCGCCACCTGAGATCATAACCAAACCTGCTGTGATCATGGCAGGCTTGTGAGACACCGGGACACTCCACAATCGCAGTGCCTCTGCTTATCGTCTGTTTCTAGACACGGTCACCTTAGCTGAGCCTTATCATCTCCCCACCTCGACCATAATTACATCAGTGGGTGGGGAGCGCAGAGGCCGCTCATGCTCCCATGAGGGTGAAGTAGTCAAGCGATTGGCGATAGAAGCGGATTGCTGATCCGGCTGCCCCAAATCAGCTACGGTGAGTATATTCGCAGTCACAGACATCATACTCTCCTAGCCAGCCCCCAGCCCTACCATTGAAAACCACACGCTGTCTCCCGTGGAATCGTACATGTAACAGAAGACAGCTCCTCGCAGCTTTGCAGTATTCACGGCAGCTAGCGGATCTCAGGTCTTGTATTCCTGAGGCGCGGATGTTCGCTGTTTCAATAGGCTCAAATCCTATCCTGTGTAATCCGGGAAGCTGGAGTGCATGCAACTCGGGAAACTTGTTACCTTGAGACATATTTGCCTATCAGTACACCTTCGCAGTCTATGATATATCAACTAATTGCTGTCCCTTATCCAAACCACTACCGCTCCCACAGATTTTTTGATGAACCTACAACAATATGGACCTTCAGTGACACTCGTCATGCTAAGCATCGAGGTTTCAATGTGCCACATCAACGTAACCTCTTACCAGCCGCCCCCACATGTGTCGAGTGACTTGACAGTAAATCGGAGCGAGGAATTCCAACGACTCTCACATGCGCAGGGTAAACTTGTTCCTTCGTTGCGTATTATTTAGCCGTTCGAATCGCTCAGTGGTGGTCCCTTTCAGCCATCTGGCGATCATTTGACTTGCGGCCGCGTTTCGAGCTATGCCCGCCAAAAGCTTCCTGATTGCGAATGAAGAGGACGGGGACATCAGGCTCGGGATATTCCACGATATTATTCAACAAAAAATTCGTTGCGACTGCTGAGACCATACCGTCCAAGGAAACCGAGCTCTCTGCCGCATTGCTAAATGGGCATCTCACAAGTGCAGGTGTCGCTCCTCAGCTTGAACTCGATAAATTAGGCCCTGGATCTTGTGCGCTGATAGTCGCGAAGCCGATTGTCAGTCTTTGAAAATTTGGTCAGGGGGTGAGGATGTCATGAAAGTGGGCCTGGAGATCTGGAATCAGGGTAGTTGCGTTCAAGACACTAGGTAGGCTTTTAGTGAAGACGGAGATGTCAGTGAAATGGATGTCTTTGAATACCTTCTGGAATAGCATCGTCTCTGAGCGACTGCTTACAGCCAGTACAACCTGTATAATGATCACGCGATCATTTAATTTCAGGACGTCAGTGGCTATTTCACAAATTCCTATATATTCGGTAATCAGCCAGTTAGAGCGAAAAGTATGACCCTCATCGTCTTCCAAGAGCAAGAAGACATTGCTATAGATCATGGCTTATAACTTGATATTTGAAGTGTATTAGTCGACACAAGCACAAAAATACGGGATCGCTCAGCCCTATCATGCTTGGCGCGATGGATCTGCTGCCAAATGGGAACATCGACTTCGCCGCCAGCAGGCCGTTGATGCTCCCACCCGTTACCACCGTTAAGAACCGTTAACACCTTATCACTGCTAAAGGCCATTCATTTGATATTTAAGATAGATCCTCGGGGTATGAATCACTCCTATCTCCTTACCGTCGTTCACACCAAATCCGTATCTCCAAACAAGAGCTTCAGATTCACAGCTCGCGACTATACCAGCTCAATCCGTGAAAGCTTGTTGAACAAAAAGCCAACCCAGATCCGTCGGTTGTGTTTAGGTGTACGGTAATGATTGTGCGGCCGTGAGAACCTAGGAGACAATGGCATGGCAGAACTCCGCTGGCATGGGGGGCAGCGGAGGGAGTGCCGGTGGTGGGAGCGAGGCAGGTAACAGTGGAGGTCAGCCTCAAGGCACAGAGTATACATTACAAGGTGAGCACACGTCATGATACGAGCGTCGTCACCTGTGGACGATTCAAACTTCTCCGCTGACCCATCTTTTATTACAGGGGTAATGCGCTTCCTACAAACTGAATGGCATAGACACGAGCGTGAACGGAATGCCTGGCAAATTGAAAGAGCGGAGATGAAGTCGCGAATAGGAAAGCTCGAGGGCGACGGGAGGACAAACAAGCGACTACGGGAATCAATGGACAAACACATCAGGCTTCTGGAGCATGCCCTCAAAAAGGAGAGGGAAAAAGCCAAATCTCCGCAATCTGGGACGCAACCAGAGGACAAGAAAGAGGAGAGTCAGGTCACGAAGCAGAACGTCAGGCCGACCTCTAAGGGTAGGCCATCTCTCGCCACTCTCTAATTCCTGGTAGCTAACCAAACCCGCGATCTCTAGGCAAACCTCACAACTCCTTCCTCGACCTCGAACCCGAAGATCAATCCTCTCCAAGTCTCAGACACGAATCGGAAAGAGATAGGTCACGGTTGTACCTTGGCAAATGCATCGAAGAGGTCTCGTACCACGTCTTATCGTTCAACGGCCAGCAGCAATATAGCGAAGAGCCGGAGCAAGCACTTCAGAATCACCAATACGCCAACGATCAACAACCACAGAGGTCTTTAGAGGAGGTGTATGTCCAGCAAAGACAAAAGCAGCTACCGACAAATTACGGATCATTAGGACCATCGCCTCTACCTAATCATCAACCTCCACCCGTCCCTCGAGTCTCTGATATTCCAGCACTCTCTCGCACCTCACAGCCACCAGAACAGGCATCCTACATGAGTCGAAGTCTGCCGGAACGACAAGCGCAACAGCAAAACCCGCCTCTTACCGCTATCGATCGGTCAAATCAACCTCGATCAGAATACGGCTTCCCTAATCGTGATCGCGATGAGCAAGTTGAAAAGGTGGCACATAGCTATGATTCATTTGGCCGACCTATACCCCCTCGCGAAGAAGAGGAGAACGCTAAAACATCAGAAGAGCCGGAGGTTGCGGATGCAGATGGGTGGAATTTTGACGACCCTGCAGAGCCTCCTCCTACTGAAGACCGGCCTGCGCCAGAGCAACCATTACCTCAAAGACCTGATACCGACGCCTTCCCAAACGCGAACAACGTTGCGTTGAAATCTCCTACGCGCGGAGGGCCCGGTTCGCATAGACGGAAAAGCTCTTTATCGAGAAGCCGGCCGAGCGATGGATCACATGAGCTGAGAGAGCTATCAACGTCGCATACGGGTGGCAGCTTCAGAGGCGATGCTGGCCAATTCAAGGTTCGCTTCGCACTCAGAGGTCATCTCGACGTCGTGCGATCCGTCATTTTCTCCGGTGGAGGGAGCCCAGCGCAACCTGAGATCTGCACCGCTGGGGATGACGGGACAATCAAGAGGTGGACGGCCGGCAGCAATCCAAACAAGGGAGAAGATTTGGATCTCAAGTGCGATCAAACCCATCGAGGCCATACTGGGGCCGTTCTCTCGCTTGCTGCATCTCCTGTACACCAGCCATTTACAAACGGCGGTAGGGCCCAAGGAGATGGCTGGGTCTTCTCGGGAGGGCAAGACGCTACCGTGCGAGTCTGGGAACGGGGCAGGGTTGACCCGAAAGCTACACTGGATGGTCATACAGACGCCGTGTGGACGGTCTGCGTCCTGCCTGGAACTTCTGCATCCATACTTGGAGATCAGTCTACGCATCACGGTGGGCCGGACCGAACGATCATTGCATCCGGTGCCGCGGATGGAACAATACTCATCTGGGCCGTCAGTACACCACCTCAAGCATCATCACCGCATCAAGCGTCGAGAAGGGGTACGGGGGGTAGTCGAAGAGCAAATTCGGTATCGGCAGGCTCCAACTTCCCATCCTCACCACAGCCAAACACCGCGACTTCCAAACCATTTCAATACTCCCTTGTCCACCGGATCGAGAGGCCCGATCACCCATCACCCACATGTATCAGTCCTTTGTCCATGTCCGGTGAGACTTTCGTGGTGTCTTATGCTGACGCTTCCATTCTCGTCTACAACACCCGCACAGCAGAAGAGATGGTCGGGATGGCGAGTCTGGAAACGTATGACGGGACTCCCAGCACAGGCGTCAATGCGGTAGGCGCTACGACTGTGGGTCTGGAGGGCACCATGAGCTTTGACTCTGGAAGAGGGGTATCGGAAGATGAGAGCACGGTTCACGGCCCTACTGGATCGAGCAGCGGTGTTGAAGGCGTGATACTCAGTGGGCACGAAGATCGCTATATCCGATTCTTCGATGCCAACAGCGGTACTGATCCCTTGTTTCCACTATGATTACATGCTGATGGATGTAGGTCAATGCACGTACGACATGCTTGCCCACCCCGCCGCCATCTCTGCGCTCTCCCTCTCACCCTCGGGTGCGGAACTTGTCTCTGCCGGTCACGATGCTAGTCTCCGATTTTGGTCGCTGGAGAAAAGATCTTGCGCACAAGAAATCACGAGCCACCGGCTCATGCGCGGCGAAGGCATCTGCAGTGTTGTGTGGAGTCAGGACGGCAGGTGGGTGGTCAGTGGAGGAGGCGATGGTGTTGTGAAGGTGTTTTCCAGGTCCAATGGGGACCAAAGCAGGCAGGTATAGTTCTGCCAAGGTCCGATGCCCGACAGTACTCTGTGGCTCTGATTGTTCGTTTCTTGTACCCTCTTTACCGTCTCCGTGGGAGACGATTACTCGCAGGACTTTGGACGTGGCTTGTCACGTTCACCGCGGAGCACAGCACGCATATGCATTTAATACCAACTGGACGTGTGTATGATGGCATTTCGAGCAGGATTTCATTTGTTCGATTCGTGATCCTGT